AAGTAAGGTCAACAAACTGTGGTTTCTGTCTCTGGTATTAAAATCAAAGACATGTAAAGCGGATGTGTGAGTATTGAGTGAATATGGTTTGAGGTTTGAACAACGGATCAACATCATGGCACACAGGTAGTAACCCATAAGTGCTCCGTTCTTCTTCTAACTCAAGTCTGAGTTAGAAGAAGCTCAGCACAGTGCACAGGCTCTGTAGCACCGACGGAGATCCTGAAATACTTTGGGTAGATTTTTATTGAGTGAACAGAGAATAAAAACACACATACAGCCATCAAGAAACAGGATTTATAGCTAGACTTGTCAATGATAATTAAGGGATCATTCTCACATTTTTGTCCACTCCCCCCCCCCCCCCCCCTATCTTTTTCTCTCTTGCCACCATGTCTCTCTTTCTTTATTCATCTCTAGATGTCTGATCTTCCACATCGTCTATTGTTTTTTTTCTCGTTCACTCTCTCTGTGCCGTGTGAAAGGTGGGTATTTGGAAGGGACCAATGTAAGACAGGCCTGGGTGCCCAATTTGTAACCCTTTCTCTCTCTCTTTGTGTCTCTGCGTCTAGAATCTATATAAATACTGCTACAATGACAGGTAAGGGATGATACGGGTGCATTCATAATCAGACTTCTACAGAAACAAGTGAACATCTACCAAGGAAGACTAAGCTTATATGGGTATGTCCTGAGTGCAAAATCTACAGTCAGTTAATCAATCAATCTATCAGTTTTATCTTTTTCTCTTTACTTGTACAAATGTAAATTTACACTAAGAAAACCCAGCTTAAGGGCAGAAAACTCTGTATGTCATTTCTTCCCTATTTAAAAAAACATATCTCTGTTACTGCATTCATCTGGTTCATTCTCACTAATAGATGACAGGATTTTCTTTTTGACTCCCAGAAGATCCAGCTGTTGTCTGAGTGAGGCAATAATGAAACTAATAAACTCATAGAAGTACCTCTTCCATGGGGACTAAATGTATAACCTTTTTGTAGGATACAACCAAACTGTTGGAGCTAATTGATTTGATTCAAGAACCGACATCACAGCACTCGGTGCATTCCCATAAGCGCTCCATCCCCATCTTCAGCAGCCAGCGAAGAGTTCCAATACTAATGGTGCGAGTAGCATTCTGATTAAATGTCCGTCTTGTCTTTCCTCTGAGCCTCGAGCATCTGCCAGAACCTCTCGTCACCCCCCAACTGCATCAATCTCACCAGACTGTGGTGATCCATCTGCTCCTCCGAATTGTACATGCTCTCCCACAAGGCACTAACCACGTGTGTCCTATCATGTATCAGTATTCCACCAAGTAGTGCTGAGCCAGGCAGTCTGTCCACCTGTTCATTTCCCAACACACTGGCGTAACCCAGAGAAAAAATCCAGACAATACTCCTCACTCGTGTCCTCCGCAGCAAAACATGCCACTCTGCACGAAGCATACCTGTTCTGATCTTCCCCAGCATGCTTTCTGAATCTGTTACAATCACGATGTGTGTGTGTGTGTGTGTTCTCTAGCCAGCGGAAAGCTGCAGTGACCGCCTCCACCTCCATTCTTAAGCTGGATGTTGTGGTATCATATGCTAGGCTCTCCTGCACCAAAAGTCGACCATCAACTTTTGCTAAGAAGCCCCAAGCACTTCTTTTGCCTCTTGACACTGTTGAAGTTATTCATAACATAACATAACCCTTGACCCGTTAGGGTTATGGAGGTGTACCAATGGAAGCACTAATACACAAAACCAGCTATCTTTCTATGTCTGTCCATTTTTTGATGTTGTCATTCCAGTTAGTTTCTTCTTTGCCCTCCTCGTCCTTGATACCCCTAATTTCCCTTGAAATCTTTGCAATCGAATCATGTCTCACCACATACCACGTTTATTTATAGTCAACGACTAAACATAGGATTTCCAGAGTCAACTAATTGGGAGCTTACTTTGAAATCAGAGTGCATCTGCCTGAGAGGCAAGGAACCAACAGTTTGCATAAACATGAGTCAAATCTGTAAAATGGATGTGCATGCAACACTTAGGTTCTCCAACAGGACTAAAGTTCAGAAGTGGTCAAAAAACCAGAACGTTTTGCCTGAGTTTACTACAGCTGGTGAACACAAAAATCCTGTCTGAGAAAGAAAGAGTCAATGCTATATGAAAACAAAATCCCTCAGTTACATAAAATCAAGATGCACTGTCACATAAATGTTTTGGCACTGTTCCGCTTTGCATAAAATATGGAACAACTAGTTCTGAAACTTTCAATAGTTTCTGTGAACCTTTACTTTACTTGTCAGTTTACTGAATATTATAAACTATTAAACTTCACTTGTTGTAAAACTTTAGTCTTCTCTTCTTTCTTTCTCTACTCCTGGAAATACCTGCAGGCATCAGGGCAGGAATGGAATGGGCCCTTTCGTTCACATTGTATACAGTAATTTTTCAGTGTCTCTGATATTTCTGCGGTCCATATTCTGTGTGGCCGACCTTTGGCTCTGTTAGTGCTGTATCTGTACAATACTGCTGTCTGTGGGGCCCTGTCTGATGCCAATCTTGTTACATGGCCAAACCATTTGATTTGTTGTCTACCTATAAAGTTTGGTAACGGTTCTGTGCCGACTCTCCTCCTGATATCATTGTTCATTCACCACAGTAGTCATTTGCACACTATCTATCTATATTTTGTAAACGATTTCTAGCTTCTCTCAGTTCACTGAAAGTGTTCCTTATTGTTCTTTCCTTACTTCTGATGAGTACTAACTTCTTTCTGTTAATGAAAGGTTGGAGTGTCTGCCTGTTTGCTTCAAACCAGTCCTTACTTCTATGTTCTCTCATCCCACTGACCAATGATTCTCAACCTTCTTAAAGCCGCAACCCTTTAATACAGTTCCTCATGTTGTGGTGTACTTCATATCATCAGTGCATACATGTTTTTCGATGGTTTTAAGTGACCCCTGTGAAAGGGTTGTTTGACCCAAAAAAGGGTCGCAACCCACAGAGTGAGAACCGCTGCCATAGTCTGCTGCAGCTGTTTTAGTGAGAGTCTCTTTAATTGCAAATGTTGATGTCAACTCTGTAGCAATGCACCTAATAATAAAATATACCTGGTGATAATACATTGCCTGTACACATTATTAAAATACTATGAATCTGTCACAATATTCTGTGAATATTCCCATATGATATAAATTATCATTCAATGAAATATCACTCTGTAGTAAATTAGCATAGCCTGCGAGACTTTAATTTGTGTAAATTAGAAATATAAACCTTCACCTTTGTAAATGACTCAAAAGCAGATAACAGTCGGTAAATTACGAAAGTAAACTTAGTTTTGATTCTCAAAATAAGGTTAATAAAATAATACAAATATAATGGAAAAAGATTTGTTCATTTGGTTGTAGACTTAAAATACTAAAAACAATCATGTACAACCATAAACTAGTACACAAGGCTGAAGAACGTACATGAGATGTGAATATGAGAATGTATAGAGTGTATTTTTAATGACTGTATTTTTTAAAAATATTGCCGTTCCTATTTTTGTAATCACCGTCAGTGGAGTTAATGCAACATATACTGCTTTAGTGTGTCTGATTTTGGGTACTGTTTTCCGTAATGCATCTCTAATCACAATCGATTATACTGGTTAAATTGCTAACAGTATCAAAATGAAACATTTGAGTATCAGACAATGACACCACAAATTGCTGAACAACCACATTCGAATACCTGCCACCATTATGGAACATACGCTCAACCAAAATTACTTTTTTCTTCAATAGTTAACACTGTTAAAGCTAACATCAGTCACTAAAACACCGGTATATAGCGGTGATATTCAAAACTAACGCTTTTAATGGCGTCCAAATGTGGTTACGATGTGCAGCAAATAATTGATTCTAAGAACAGTCTGGTCATTAAACATATATCCTATACATTAGATTTTCATCTGAGAATGTATATGAGATGTGTAAATGAGAAGTGTATATGAGAATGTACATGAGATGTGTATCTGAGAATGTAGATGACAAATGTATCTGCGAATGTATATGAGACATGTATCTGAGAATATACATGACAAGTGTATCTGAGTATGTATACGAGATGTGTATCTGAGAATGTACACGACAAGTGTATCTGAGTATGTATACGAGATGTGTATCTGAGAATGTATATGAGATGTGTATCTGAGACTGTACATGACAGTGTATCTGCTTATGTACATGAGATGTGTATCTGAGAATGTATATGAGATGTGTATCTGAGAATGCACATGAGATGTGTATCTCAGAATGTATATGAGATGTGGATCTGAGAATGTACATGACATGTGTATCTGAGAATGCACATGAGATGTGTATCTGAGAATGTATATGAGATGTGTATCTGAGAATGTACATGACGTGTATCTGAGTATGTATACGAGATGTGTATCTAAGAATGTATATGACAAGTGTATCTAAGAATGTACATGTGTATCCGAGAATGTACATGACATGTGTATCTGAGAATGAACATGAGATGCCTATTTACACATGGTAGTTACAAGTGAATGAAAGGACTAGAGATGGAATTCAATTTTTTCAGTCTGCTGAGTTGTCATCAGGGACCTAGACACATGGGATCATTACTTGCTTCCATACTGTTCTGACAGAAGACGGTTGCCATTTAAGTTTGCAACCAGGACACAGGACAGAAAGGATGTAGCATGACAGATTTCTGCTACAAACCATTCATGCTCTATACATCGTTGATACATTTCTGCCATAGAACACTCAAGATCTGTCAATCGTTGATAGATTTCTGTCACAAACCACTCAGTCATCAATCAGCAACAGATGTCTGTGACAAACCACTCAAGCTCTGTAGATCAGTAATCCATTTCTGCCACAGACCCGTCAAGTCCCATCGATCAGAGATTCATGCATGTCACAGACCATGCCAGCTCCACTGATCAGTGATAAGATTTATGTCATGAGCCACAGTCTCTTTCAATCAGTGATAGATTTCTGCAGCCTGAATGAGGCAGTTCTGTCTCTCTAGTTCAGCAATATCAAAAGCTGTGGACACTCGGGTGGAGTTGTCTGCAGGGTTGTACATGCATCGGGCTTCTAGCTCATCTGTGTAATCTTTAATCAGCTGAGCAATTTGTGATGCCTGAAAAGGTACAAAGTATAACAAAACAGTTATAATTAAATTTAAGATTGGCAAATCAGCCATGAGGACTGGCAACAAATCACATCCTCCAAGACTGTCCCAAATACATTTCCAGCAAAACTTCTGGCTAAGAGAGACACTGGTGGAGGCCAAACTTTAGGGGCCGCTAAGTGAATCACAACAGACAGTCAGGTTCATACTAGAGATAGCATTGCAGATAAAGATAATTTATTTAAAGTGAACGAAAGAAGAAGAAGTGGATTTCTAATTAACTGAGCAATTTGTGACGACTAAAATTACAAGGCTCATAAAATGGGAATAAGTAAGGCAAAGTAAGGTACCTTTTACATGTCTTAAGGCGTGCTGGGCACATAGGGCTAGACCTATATTTTATAGACCAATCGACACTCAGTGGGTGACATGGCCAACATCATGCCGGCCGCATTTACTTCCCAGGACTTTACCCAGTACACATTTTAGGCTGGGTGGATGCGAGAGTCCAAAATCATTTGTGAAACAAGCCCAGATCCATTTGAATTTGAACCCACAACTTTGGACCTGCAGGCGAGCATCTAGCTGCTACACTATTGTGGCCCGCCAAAAGGGAAGTAAAGGATCTGTTTGACACTAATTGTGTGTTGGGCATATTTTTCTAGACCAATCGGATCTTGATGGGCGACGTGGTCAACATTATGCCGGCCACTTTTACTTCCCAGGACATTACATGGTACCTATTGTTTTGGATGGGTTAACCTGACAGCCTGGGTCAATTAATGTCCATTTTCCATGGAAAAAGATTGGGAATATAGGGCTAGATACCCCCGGGTGGGTTCCGGGGCCCCACTGTGGGGAAAACAAGAATAGACCCACTGCCTCCCAAAAAGCGTGTCGTAAGAGTCGATTAATTGGGGAGCTTCCTTTGAAGTCGGAGTGCATCTGCCAGAGAGGCAAGGAACTAACAGTCTGTATTCAAGAGAATGAGATCTGTAAAACTGATGCACATGCAACACTCAGCTTCTGGAGCAGGACTGCAGTTCAGTAGTGGACGAGCAACCAGAACCTTCCGCCAGAGTTTACAGCTGGTGAACGCGAAGAAGAAGAAGAAAGGGCTAGACATATTTTTCTATAGACCAATCGGCACTTAGTGAGTGATGTGGTCAGCACCACACCGGCTGCCTTTACTTCCCAGGACTGCACCTGATACCCACTTAAGGCTGGGCCGGCCTGGGAGTCAAGGTCCTTTCTGTAAAAAGTCAGGCTCCATAAGGACGCAAACCCAGGACCTTCCGATCCAACACTATGGCGACTCCCTGGGTCAAGGAAAAAAAATGTGTTCTAATGTGGATTTCTTCTTCTTCTTCTTCACATTCACTGGCTGTAAACTTCAGTGGAAAGTTCTAGTTGTTTGTCTACTTCTGGACTTTGATCTTTTTCCAGAATTTTAGTTTTACATGCAAATCCATTTGACAGATCTGGCTTATTTGTTTGCTGACTGATGGTTCCTTACCTCTACATTTTCTGTTGGACCCACTCTGTCTGTCTTCCTCTGTAACTTTCTCACCATCACAGTGTACTCAAGTTTCCTCTAGACAATTCTCCAGCCCTGTGTGCTTTCATAGCCAATGCACTGCCAATGTCTTGTATCCGCCTTCACAGAGGTCTGCATTTGCCTCTTTTCCAGAACCTCTACCCTCCATCATCGCTCTCTCCAGGCGACCCTGATATTTAACACGACTAAAATATTGTTCTTAATCAACCCTAGATTATGCCAAATAAAAAACGACAACCACTAGCATTTGGACCTGCCGCCTTTCCTTCCTTGAGAAAATTTGATAGCTTTTTAAATTTCCTATTTAGATGGTATCTCACAGTTGATATCCAGTTCCATTTCTAAAGGCTGGATGTCTGGATGAACCTCTGGGCCTGGTCTATTTAGAAGTATTTCAAAATTGTCAGCCCATCTGTTCATTTGATCTTTAGTGTTAGTAAGTACCTTTCCTTGACTATTTTTGATTGATCCAGTTGGCTGACTATATTTACCTACTAATTTTCTTGTGTTACTGTAGAGTTCTCTGGGGTTTTCTTTTGCTGCTGCTGTCTCCGCTTTTTGTGCTGGATCATCTAAATATTTTTTTTATCTGCCCTTATATGCCTCCTAACTTTCTTCTTGTCTCGCCCAATCCTTAATACCAAGTATTTATCTCACTGCCTTCGCCTCACATTGTTTCCTTTTGCTGCTGCTGTCTCCTCTTCTTGTGGAAGGTCATCTAAATATTTCATTTTATCTGCCCTTACATGCATCCTAACTTTCTTCTTGTCTTGCCCAATCCTTAATACCAAGTATTTATCTCACTGTCTTCGCCTCGCATTGTTTCCTTTTGCCAATAAAACCTGCAAAGTTTTCGAGTCCATTCATTCTCCAAACTTGACAATAAAAACACTGTGTTTCTAACTTTTCTAATCAGTTTATGATTTTCATCTCCTTAAGGACTGCCTTGTTGGTTTTCTTGTCACTCCATGATACTTCGCATCCTTCTAAAAAATCGCAGGTGTTTTGCCTGATTGCTTGCTTCCTGTAGAACAAAAATGACAATTCGACCCCGTTCACTTTTCTTTTTCTCATTACTGATGTCTATATTTGCGATCTCTATTGTGTAGGACTGGTTCAGATATGGTTTCTTTTAGTTCAATTATGTCTTGTTGTCAACAGACGTTTTAACTGATATTGATTCTTCCTTCTATAGAATTTAGGTGTTTTTCAGTGTGTCTGTTATTCTTCTGGTCTTACATGGATAAAACAACACAGGTTCCATATAGCACTTACTTCTCACTGCAACTGATACCTTTTCATTAGTACAACCAGCATACTAGCATATAAAGATCTTTATTCTAATTTTAAAAAAAATTTAAAAATAAACAAGATATTTTCTTCATTAAAAAAAAAATAATTTAAAAAAAAAGGTTACCTCATTTGTATTAAACATAAACTTGATTCCCTTGGCTACATGGCCGATGACAATCATAATACTTTTGATAGCCGGGCTGGAGTGGACAATGTCCGAGTAGTCGTATGCAGAAAGTACATTCTGGGGAGGGAGAAATGGCTAAACTGAAACGGCATGCACATCTCAACATTTCTGGAATCCAGGAAATCATCAGGCTCTTACAGCAGTAAGTCAAGTCCAGCAACTCTACCCTAACAACAGCAAGATATCTTTAGTAATTCTAACCTAACAGTACCAAGTCAAGTACAGTAACTCTACCCAAACAACAGCAAGATATCTTTAGTAATTCTAACCTAACAGTACCAAGTCAAGTCCAGCAACTCTACCCTAACAACAGCAAGATATCTTTAGTAATTCTAACCTTACAGCAGTAAGTCAAGTCCAGCAACTCTACCCTAACAACAGCAAGATATCTTTAGTAATTCTAACCTAACAGCACCAAGTCAAGTACAGTAACTCTACCCTAACAACAGCAAGATATCTTTAGTAATTCTAACCTTACAGCAGTAAGTCAAGTCCAGTAACTCTACCCTAACAACAGCAAGATATCTTTAGTAATTCTAACCTAACAGCACCAAGTCAAGTACAGTAACTCTACCCTAACAACAGCAAGATATCTTTAGTAATTCTAACCTAACAGCACCAAGTCAAGTACAGTAACTCTACCCTAATAAAAGCAAGATATCTTTAGTAATTCTAACCTAACAGCACCAAGTCAAGTCCAGCAACTCTACCCTAACAACAGCAAGATATCTTTAGTAATTCTAACCTGACAGCACCAAGTCAAGTCCAGCATCTCTACCCTAACAGCACTAAGTCAAGCCCAGTAATTCTAATCAAATAGCATTAAGTTAAGTAACTCTGAAACACTAATTTAAGTACAGTAGCTCTGTTCTAAAAGTACTAAGTTCAGTCCAATAATTCTTCTTTAGTCAAGCGCTTAATCAAGTTCAGTAACTCCCAAACAAAACACAATGTCAACAGCAAGAAAACAACTTCCCAGCAGAGCAGAGAGAAGGAGGAGAACAAGCAAAAAAAAAAAAAAAAAAAAAAAAAAAGAAAGGAGACAAAAAAAACAATGCTGACAGCAAGAAAACAATTGCCAAAGTACTTACAAAAGTCTCCACCTCCAGCAAATAGATCCCTCGCTGGTGGACTCCCAGCTGCAGATTCTTGGGCAATGTGGACGTGTAGGTTTGCTGGCAGAAACACAGACAGACAAATTAGTAATCTAAATGCCATTTACCTATCATCGAGGCAGTGGACGTATGGTTCTGAGCCCATATTTGTTTATATATCAAATGGCCTGACATTTGTGATGCGGCCAACATTACACTGGCCACCCTTACATCCCAGGACTTCCTGGATTACATCGGCCATGCACTCAGAATGAATAAGATAAAATTTCCCCATCAAGCCCTCATATGGACACCTGAAGGGACCAGAAAACGGGGAAGACCAAGAGAGAACCATGATCAGGGAAAGCTCAACCATGGGCCTAACAAACATCCAAGACCTAAAAAAAAATGGTGACGAACCGGCAAAAATGGAGAGCTATGACCTCTGTCCTATGCGCCGCCCTAGGCTCAAGAGGAAAGACTAACTTAACTCCCTGTATGGGTTTCAGGGCCCCATTTCAGGGTAAAAAGAACCGACCACTGCCCCTTAACAAGCATGTCATAAAAGGCAACCAATTGAAGGTTTCTTTGAAGTATATTTGCTGAAGGGGTGAAGAATCAGCAGTCTGCATACAAAAAAACACCTAGAACTGTAAAACAGATGTGCATTCAATGCTCCAGTTCTGGAACAAGCAAAAAGTCCAGAAGAAAATGTACAGTAAAGTATCCTTTTTCCATGCTTAAGGTGTACTGTGCATAGAGGCCTAGACGAATATTTTATAGATCAATCTGGCACTCGGTGGGTGATGTGTTGACTGTGTGACTGTCTTTACTTCCCAGGACTGTACTCACTCAAGACTGGGTTGACCTGAGAGCCAAGGCCATTTAACAAAAAAAAAACAAAAAAAAACCAGGCTCTGTCAGACCTCAGCTTCTGACCTTCTGAACCACAGGCGAGCACCTAGCTGCTACACCATGATGAACAACAACAACTTTCCACCAGAGTTTACAGCCGGTGAATGCTAAAAACAAAAACAAAATTAGAAACAAATAGAGGAGAAGACATCCCAGGACGTATGCTAGTATCCCCACCGCTAGGGCAGTTTTTATGGTGATGCTGTTCAAGCCATATGCCTTTTGCTCTGAAGAGCATGGTTTCGTTTACAGATACGACACATTCAGCTCATGCTTGCAGTTTCCAAAGAGATCCCTGGGGACTGTCATTGGTGCTGTGCAGTTTGTGCTTTATGTGACCCTTTAGATAGGTGGCTAGGTGTTCTGCAGAGATAGAAAGAGATAGGGGGAGAGAGAGAGAGAGAGAGAGAGAGAGAGAGAAGAGAGAGAGAGAGAGGGAGAGAGAGAGAGAGGGAGAGAGAGAAAAATATGAGATAAGCCAGTGTAATGAAGTTGATCTTTCGAATTTAGTTTTAACTTTATTCTAGTATCTATTTTAAATTTGGTGAACTTTGGGGACTTAAGTGAATTATAACAATCTGCCTCAATGTAGAGTCTAACCTAATAAACAAACACATATTTACTGATTAGCACTCATAGAAAGAAGTAGAAAGATAGAAGTTAAGAGTCTAGCCTAAAACCTTTGGGCTAACACAGAAGAGCCAGCTCACAGATGAACACCATCAGTAAAACTGATCCAGAAAAACAACCAACCCTATAGATATCTAGATATAATCATATGTACATATAATGACACACACATAACCAAAATATATACTAGGTTATGGTATGAGTTAAGGTGATAAGCTCCGGTTTTTATGTCTTTTCCTAGCCATTCAAGAAGAAGAAGAAGGAGGGGAGGAAGGAGGAGGAGAAGAAGAAGAAGAAGAAGAAAAAAGAGAACGTAAAGAGGAATCACACAGAGAAGAAGATGGAGGAAAAGAAAAACAATCACAAGAAGTTGAAGAAGAAAAAAAAAAAGAGGATGAAGAGGTTAAGGAGAGAAAAAAAGAAGAAGAAATGCCAGAAGAAAAAGAAGATGAAAAGAAGAAGAAAGAGGACAAGGAGGAGGAGAAGAAAAAGAAGAATCACAAGAAGAAGAATACACAGGAGCAGAAGGAAGTTGAGGAGTCACAAGATGAAGAAGAAGATAAAGAATCATGAACACAAATAATAATAACTATAATAACAGGAAAATAAGCTGGCTGAAGAATCACAAGAAGGAGTTCAAGAAGAGTCAGGAAAACAGGACAGGAGGACATGAAGACAATGAACTGAACTCACAGAAACTGCAAAAACAGTTGTCCCAAAAAGCTGCCAGTGTTTCAGCACATTGATGAACGACACTATAGCCTGATGTGGGCTCATGTCCAACACAGTTTTGTGGGTTGTGGCCACCTCTTCCGGTCGAACTGTACACCTCATATCTCGTGGCAGGATTCGCATCACAGATCTATTTAAAATAAAATCATTTGTAATGGTTACAAAATGGAAAACAAAATAAAGTTGCGTATCCATTACAATATCTTACGGAACCAACCCCAGTATTTGTTGGATGTTTTGGTTTTATAGGCAATTTGACATTAGTTGTTCCATTGACGTTACATTGGCTATGAAAGCACACTGGGCTGGAGAAATGGCTACAGAAAGGAGACTTTCAGGCATGCCATGACGAAAGTAATGTTCTGTAAAGGACTTGCTGATTGTTGCTGAGGCTGTCACGACATTACAGAGTTGAAATAAAAGAACGAATTCTTCTGCGACATTTAAATATTAGGAAAATGGAGATAGGTGTACATTTTTACACGCCAATCAGCATTCAACGGGTAAAATTGATTTTTGATTGGTGTTTTTTTTTTAAACACCATGCCATAAACCGTTAATTTCAGGACCTTTCCTGGCAGATATGTTAGGCTGGGTCAAAATGTGAGACAAGGTTATTGTAAAAATATATCCGCCTCATTGCGGATTCAAATCCAAGTTTCCCTGTGCGGATTCTTGGGGCCCCATTTTAGGGAAGACAAGAAAAAACTTGCTGCTTCCCTAGCGAGCCTGTCATAAAAGGTGACTAATAAGGTGTGTTTTCTTTGATGTTGGAGTGCATCTACCTGACAGGCAAGGAACCAACAGTCCGCACATAATAAATAAGTCATATTTGTAAAACGGCTGTGTATAAAAAAACTCAAAGACCAAAGTCCAGAGGTTGATTAACAACCAGAACGTTCCACTGGAGTTTACAGACAGGGAGTGCTAAGAAGAGGAAAAGAAATCCAAGATCTTTTAGCCAACAGACGAGCATTCAGCCAGTATGCTACTATGACCCCAACAGATGAACATTTAGCCAGTATGCTACTATGACCCCAACAGATAGACATTTAGCCAGTATGCTACTATGACCCCAACAGATAGACATTCAGCCAGTATGCTACTATGACCCCAACAGATAGACATTTAGCCAGTATGCTACTATAACCCCAACAGATGAACATTTAGCCAGTATGCTACTATGACCCCAACAGATGAACATTTAGCCAGTATGCTACTATGACCCCAACAGATGAACATTTAGGCAGTATGCTACTATAACCCCAACAGATGAACATTTAGCCAGTATGCTACTATGACCCCAACAGATGAACATTTAGCAAGTATGCTACTATGACTCCAACAGACCCATGTTTGAGTTTCTGGGTCTCCATTTTAGGGAAAAAAGAATAGACCGCCTTCCATAGAAGCATGTTGTAAAAGGATGTTTTTCTTTGAAGTCAGAGTGCATCTGCCTGAAAGCTGAGGAACCAACAATCAGCATAAAAGTAAGCCAGATCTGTAAAATGAATGTGTGGATGCAAAACTGAAGTTAAAAATCTATCCAAAGTATTTCAGGATCCTCTCCAGTGCTACAGAACCTGTGAACTGTGCTGAGCTTCTTCGTCCACAAGAGGATGAACTTTTAGCAGTAAAGCTACTGAACTCTAAGAGACGCTAAGAAGAAGAAACAGAAGAAGAAAAAGAAACAAATCTATTGTTCTATCCTACTATGGAACTACTTTCTAGAAAAATTATTTGTATTGTTTGAAAATCTTATTCTTTTGGGCTCCCAGGCCAAACCACCTGAAATGGTTGGCAGGAAATTTGTGGGGAAGTTGAAGCGGCTGGAACGATGAATACCTCCCCCAAGAAGTGCCAACTGGGTCATGAAAATATAGGTTTAGCATTCTATACTTTTGGCAGGGCACATGATGATGACGATTCTATACCTAATGTGAAAATGGTGCGGGAAAAACCCAGCTAAAAATGGCCATTACTGCCTGTATTTAACACTTGTTGAGCTGAGGAGTTAGGACCACATGGTTAATGCTGTTGCCACACACTGTGCAGGTTAGGCCACATACTGTGCAGGTTGGGCCAAACACTGTGCAGGTTGGGCCAAACACTGTGCAGGTTGGGCCACAAACTGTGCAGGTTGGGCCACAAACTGCAGGTTGGGACACAAACTGTGCAGGTTGGGACACAAACTGTGCAGGTTGGGACACAAACTGTGCAGGTTGGCACACAAACTGTGCAGGTTGGGCCACAAACTGTGCAGGTTGGGCCACAAACTGTGCAGGTTGAGATGTTATTTTTGCCCCCGAAAAAAAAAAAAATCCCCAACCTTACCAGGTTTTCAAACCTGGGTCTCCCACTTGTGAGCCCAGCATTCTAATCTTATGGGCAGTCGGTCCTCAAATGGTGTGACAGGGGTTCTCAACTTTATCATGTACATAAGCACATGTGTTAATCTGCTGCTGCCCCACCTTCACACAATAGTGACACCCACACAACACACATACATACACCACACAGAGCACTTACGTATAATCAATTTCTCCAGCCTTCATATCTTCAATCTCTGACTGAACTTTCAAGGCACACAAATGTACCTGCAATAAGACAGCACAGGATGATGATAAATAATGGACACCCCAACAATGCATTATGCATATTCACGTATCACTTGGATGAATGTAGCGTGAAGATCATATAATACAACAGTACAAGTATCACTAAGCAAATGCAACTTGAAGACTATGTAATACGATAGTATAAGTATCGCTGCACGTAGCTTGATCACGTACAAGTATCACTGAGCAAATTCCCCTTGTGGGTTTCGCTGCCCCATTGGGGAAGACAATAGAAATAGACCCAATGCCTTCCTAACAAGCATGTCCTAAGAGTAGACAAATCAGGGATGTTTCCTTCCAAGTTGGACTGCAGCTGCCTGAGAGACAAGCAACCAACAGTCTGCATACAAATAAGCCCACTGTAAAACAGATGTGCAAGAATAACTCAAGTTCTGGAACAAGACTAAAGTCCAGAAGTGGACGAACAACCAGAACTTTCCACTGGAGTATACAGCCAGTTTACATTAAGAAGAAGACTTGAGCAAACGCAGCAGTAAGAAATGTACATGCAAAAGTACAACAATCATTAAGTTCACTCACAGAAAACATGAACATATATCTCATTAGTGTTCTGCTCCACTGGCAAGACATCAACGTGGCTGCTTCTGGATACTCAGTTAAGTGTTTTGTGTATTTGTGTGGTTTTGTTTGATTTATGTATGTGCTGTTGAAGGTTCACACTTTTTTGTGTATGTTATATTGTGAAGCTCGCTGATCTACTTTTCGCCTGGTTTTATATCTTCTCATAAGTGTTGTTTACCATTAACTTTCATATCAAGATCAGTTCATCAATTTGTACATTGTGAACCAAGGAATAATTAGTAACACTGCATACCAATACTGGACAGAGAAATTAGCTCCAGATGTGCCAAAGCTAATCAAGTAATGGGGCATCTATCTCCCCTGTTGACACACAAGCAGATACCCCGGAGTACTAAAGTGAATCTAGAACTATTTTTTGGCCAACATTATGCTATCAGTGCCAAATGTGGACACCTACATACTTTAATGAATGTAAAATTGTGACAACGGAGATGAAATGCCTTAGAAGAGTTGCAGGAGTTTCAAGGAAAGACAGAATCTGAAATCACAAAATCAGAAGAATGCTAGGAATAAAGCCATACTTACAGGTCATCAAACAACAACAAATGAAAGTGGTTTGGGCACCTAACAAGAATGCCCTGGTACTATCTGCCACAACGAGCCACACTAAAAAGGTTACAATGGGTTTAGAGCGAATGGAATACCTCGGAAATGATGAAGTGGTGGCATTAAGAACAGCCTTACAGAAATGAACATCAGTCTTAATAGTGCTCTTGACAAAGCTCATCAATGACTGTTACATCTTCCCCTGACACTTCGATGAGGTACAACGTGGAAGAGAAGAAGAAAAAGAAGAAGCATACCAATGTCACTATTTTTTTGACTGTCTACAGTTTTTAACTAAGCATTTTTCCATTCAGCAGTTGGAAATTTATTTCTCATCAGTCAGCACTCTATGCCAAAGTTGAAATCAAACACAATCTTTTAATGAAATCATCAGCTCACAGTGTTTCGCCATGCACTCAACTCCATAGCTGAGCAGTGGAACTATATTATTTCAGTCTACATATGGAAAAAAAAAACGAAGCCGCTATCGTCAAAAGCAAAAACTTGCCATGACTAAAAAACCGAGAATCAGCCATATTGACCGAAAGACTCAAGTAAAGGAGAGGTATTAGCTGGCAGGGCACAGAAACAAAATAAGAATGGCCAAACATGCAGACTCACAGCCTCCTTGTGTGTGATGGGGATCCTCTGTTCAAACACATCCTCGATGAGCTGGTTAAAGAGCAGGTCACACTCCACTGGGTCACTAGTGTTTACATAAGGCTCAATGAAAAGGCGCTTCTGTAGGGAATAATAAGACATTATCATTATAGTCAATTCACACTTTCTTGATCTACTAAGTTAATATAAAGTCTTGAATGTAGTTGAATGCTGAATTAAGAATTGACATCACAGCACTCAGGACACCCCCATAAGCACTCTGTCCTATCTCCAGAAGGGGCGAAGAGTTAAAATTCAGATGGTACCAGTAACTGTCTGATTGTCTTTCCCCTGAGTGTCGAGCGTCGTTGAGATCCCCTTGTAACTCTTCGCAGCTCCATTCTCCTCAGACCTAGGGATATAATGTCTTATGTTGTAACAAAGGATCATCATTATCAAGTGCCTTACCAGCTGGCAAAGGCATTCATGCGTCTCCACAGATCTCGGTCTTTGGTGTTCTGGATCAATTCTAGTGATGCTATTCATCCATGCCACTGTCTTAAGCCAGCCACCATCTTTATCTTGGTCTGCCTCTGCCTAGTCTACAACTGATTTTTCCCTTCATCACAACATTTTCTAGTGCTGCTTTTCTTATCACATGACCAAAGAACTCTTGTTTGTCTCCTTCTCATTGTTGTATATAATGTTCTACTTTCATTAGCCATTTCCAGGCAATCATTGTTAGTTATTCTGGCAGTCCAAGGTATTCACAACATTCTTCTCAAGAACCACATCTCATTTGCCTCATAAACTGTTCTTAATTTGTTTGCTCACATTCAAAGATTCACTGCCATACGATAGAATAGGTTCCAGGTAACAACACTTCAGTACTTGTTTTCTGATGTTTACTGAGAGTGATTTATTACATAAGACACTTTTCATCTTCTGAAGAGCTGCCTCTGCCTGGCCAATTCTGCTCTTAATTTCTGAAGGATACAATAATATACTTCAATGTTCTATATTGTACCATAATGTGCTTTACTTTAATGATCTGCAATGTACTATAATGTGCTATACTTTAATGTTCTGCAGTTTACCACATAGTGCTATATTCTAATGTTCTATACTGGATTATAAAGTGCTACATTTTAGTGTTCTATATGGTGCTATAATGCAAAGTGAAGCAAAGGACCCTTTCTCTGTCTCTGGCCCAACAAACTGGCAACATATGCCCTGTTTGTTTAGTTATTAGTTTACTTAATTATATATTACATTTTATTCCATGTATATAATGAACAAACATTACTAAAAGACACAAAATATTACAATCAACAAGACAAACATCAGGCAAACAACCTTCTTCTTCTTCTTTGCTTCACGGGCTGTAAACTCCGGCAGAAAGTTCTGGTTGTTCGTCCACTTCTGGACTCCAGTCCTGTTCCAGAACCTGAGTGTTGCGTGTGCATCCATTTGACAGATCTGACTAATGTGTATGCAGACTGTTGGTTCCTTGCCTCTCAGGCAGATGCACTCAGACTCCGAAGGAAGCTCCCAATTAGTCGACTCTTACGACTTGCTTTTGTGTAGGCAGTTGGTCTATTCTTGTTTTCCCTATAATAGGGCCCGAACCCACACAGGAAGGGCAAACAACCAACCTTGAAAACTAGCTTGAGGTCTCGGACAGCTCCGCTACGAGACAGTCTTTCCCACTTGCTGACAGTGTCCGACAAACGCTCATCCTGTGCCATACAACGTTCTGAGATGGTGGACAAGAGACGATTGTCATTGGTAAACACTTCAAGTCAAATATCATCAATCATGTGACATCAGTCCTATGTCAACAGTCAAGTGTGAGAAGTCATGTGACATCAGCTGTATGTCAACAGTCATGTCACCAGTCATGTGACACCAGCCATATGTCAACAGTAAAGTGTCACTAGTGATGTGACATCACTTGTATGTCAACAGTCAAGTGTCATCAATCATGTGACAGCCATATGTTAACAGTGAAGTGTCACTGGTGAAGTGACATCAGCTGTATATCAACAGTCAAGTGTCATCAGTCATGTGACAACAACCATAAGTCAACAGTCAAGTGTCATCAATCATGTGACATCAGTCATAAGTCAGTCAAAGTGTCATCAAACAATGTGACATCAGCCGTAAGTCAACCATCAAGTATCATTAGTCATGTGACATCATTCACGCATAAACAGCCATGTGACATCCGTCACGTTGCATGAGTCAAGTGACAATATTTTATGTCAAAAGTTTTGTGACAACATTCATGTAAGATCCAATACTGAATGTGGAGGCAGTATGTTTTTCCTACAATGCAGAAATGTGTGCAGCTGCACTTGGGACCTGCAATGTTTGGCGCATATCTTAGAAAGCTAGATACATAACACATCTTAAAGTAGAATGTTGCTGAATGTTGAATTTAGAATCAACATCACAGCACTCGGGACACTTCCATAAGTGCTCAGTCCCATCTTCAGCAGCAAGCAAAGAGTTCCAATTTCGATGGCACCAGTAACCGTCCGATTGTACATCCGTCCAATTGTATATCCGCTTCATCCTTTCCCTCAGTGTTGAGTGTTGGCCAGATCACCTGGTACCCTCTCGCAGCGCCATTCTCTTTAGACTGTAATGATATATCTTGAAGCAATAAAACTTAAAACTAACATTAAGGTCACCCTTCGGAGGATGGCCAAGCTCCCAAGGCAACCAGAGAGGAAGAGTTGCAGAGATAGTTGGACAATCTCAACACGGCAACTAAAGCACAAAACATGAAAATTAACATTAACAAAACAACAACAACAAAAACAACATAAGTTATGACCATTGCAAGAACAGAACAACCAATCAAGACACACATAGAAAACCAACAACTGAAGCTAGCAAAAGGCATCAAACATCTTGTCATCTTCTGGCTTCTATCCCCCAGTAGAGCAAAGGACCTCAACCAACTCACTGCCAAGTCCTTCTATCCTTCGCAATTTCATGCAGCACTCCCCATCTTTTAAACTTCCCTCTCTAGCTCTTTTCCCCATGTGTTTTTTGGTCTGCCTTTATTTCACTGTCCCTGTGGCTTTCAGTGCAAGGACATTCTAGTTTCATTGTTCTCAGGTTTCTTCAACATGTCTCCCAACTCCAGCATCTTTTCCTCACCTCTTGGTCCACTAGAACTTGTTTAGTTCTTTTTCAAAGCTCAACATTAGTGATTCTATCATACCACTTAATTCCTTCTATTCTGCGCTGGTAAGTAAAGTAAAGTAAAAATCCCTTTTCATGCCTTTCGGCGCATCAGGCATATGGGCAGAGCGTCCCATATTTTTATAGACCATCAGCACTCTGTGGGTAATGTGGTCAGCATTACGCCGGCTGTCTTTACTTTCCCAGGACAGCCCATCCTGGTACCCATTTTAGGCTGGGTCGACCTGCGACGTCCCATACCACGATAAAAATCCACGCAGCCTGCAGTGGGTTTCGCTGGTACTATTTCATAAATATTTGAAGTTTATCAGTAATTGCATTAGTTGTTCTCAAGTTTCCACTTGATACAACAGTACTGCTCTGAATTAGAATTGACAATTTCAAGTTTAATATTAGTTTTAATATCTTTTGATCTCCACAAATTTCTTTGTGTTATGAACGCTTGTCTTACCTATTGTATTTGTATTTCAATATTTCTATCAGTTCCCCCATCTTAATCTACATTAATGCCCAAGTAGGTGTATGACTCCATGTCTTGGAGTGGGGTGCCATTAAGAGAGACCACATTACTATTTGCCTGATTTATTTTCATTATCTTTGTCTTTCCCTTCTGGATTTTAAACCTTGCTGTTGTGATCTCTCATCAAGCATATTTAATTGATCTTGCATCTGATTTCGTAAGCAGGACAAGAGAGGAATATCATCAGCGAAGTCCAAATCATCAAACATGTCCTGCAAGGCTGTCTCTTGTACAGCTCATTAAGAAAGGGATACTACAGCAGTGAATCAACACCATACTCAGAGTGGTATGGAAATAAAAATCAACTTAAAAAAAAAGCAGTCACTTTTACCACAAGAACTTGTCTGTCAGTGTAAATAAGAAATCGATAACAGAAAGAAGAAAAAGCCTCCGATAACACAAACTGAAGTTACACAACACAGGGTAACAGCCTACAATAACACAAAGTGAAGTTACACAACACAGGGCAACAGCCTACAATAACACAAAGTGAAGTTACACAACACAGGGTAACAGCCTACAGTAAGACAAAGTGAAGTTACACAACACAGGGCAACAGCCTACAATGAGACAAAGTGAAGTTACACAACACAGGGTAACAGCCTACAATAAGACAAAGTGAAGTTACACAACACAGGGTAACAGCCTACAATAAGACAAAGTGAAGTTACACAACACAGGGCAACAGCCTACAATAACACAAAGTGAAGTTACACAACACAGGGTAACAGCCTACAATAAGACAAAGTGAAGTTACACAACACAGGGTAACAGCCTACAATAACACAAAGTGAAGTTACACAACACAGGGTAACAGCCTACAATAACACAAAGTGAAGTTACACAACACAGGGTAACAGCCTACAATAACACAAAGTGAAGTTACACAACACAGGGTAACAGCCTACAATAACACAAAGTGAAGTTACACAACACAGGGTAACAGCCTACAATAATAACAAAAAGTGAAGTTACACAACACAGGGTAACAGCCTACAATAACACAAAGTGAAGCTACACAACACAGGGTAACAGCCTACAATAAGACAAAGTGAAGTTACACAACACAGGGTAACAGCCTACAATAACACAAAGTGAAGTTACACAACACAGGGTAACAGCCTACAATAACACAAAGTGAAGCTACACAACACAGGGTAACAGCCTACAACAACACAAAGTGAAGTTACATAACTAGTAACACTTCTAGAGTGAAACCCCTACCTGAGCTGCCCATGATCTCATAAATAGCAAAACACTCAGCATCAGATCTCATGCCAATCTTTGTCTTCACAGTCTTAATTACCTGAAGAATGTCCACATGTTCGGATATCATTTATAATAGGCGTGAACATGCCCATTTGATACACGTGTATCGTACATGTATTCAGGTATAATATAGAATAAGTGTGAATGGTTCGATATCATACACAATATGTGTGAACATTCAGATTTGATGCACGTGTATTGTACATGTATTCAGGTATAATATAGAATAAGTGTGAATGGTTCGATATCATACACAATATGTGTGAACATTCACATTTGTTACACGTGTATTGTACATGTATTCTGGTATAATATAGAATAAGTGTGAATGGTTCAATATCATACACAATATGTGTGAACATTCACATTTGTTACACGTGTATTGTACATGTATTCAGGTATAATATAGAATAAGTGTGAATGGTTCGATATCATACACAATATGTGTGAACATTCACATTTGATACACATGTATTGTACATGTATTCAGGTATAATATAGAATAAGTGTGAATGGTTCGATATCATACACAATATGTGTGAACATTCACATTTGATACACATGTATTGTACATGTATTTAGGTATAATATAGAATAAGTGTGAATGGTTTGATATCATACACAATATGTGTGAACATTCAGATTTGATATATGTGTATTGTATGTGTATTGAGGTATAATTTACAATAAGTATGAATGGTTAGATATTATGTACAATAAGTATGAATGGTTAGATATTATGTACAATAAGTGTGAATGTTCTTGTTCTTGTGACCGCTGTCTGATTTACACCAAAATACGGGTTCTTGTAATAAAATTAATTTTTTTGGAGTTCCCTTGTAGTTTTATACAACTCTCAGTTCAGTGTTGACTCAGTGGAACAGTATGTTCTTCTAAAAGGACTGTACAAGGGACAAACTAGGTAGTCCATGTTCTGCTGTTTGCAAAGATAGCCCACAGGGGCGTAGTGGTGAACTACTTAGACGATGGCTGTGCATATGCTCAGTGTTTAGAAGTGATTACAATATTCCTGAATGTTCAGATATATGATGTTTCTAGGTATTCAAACATGATATACAATATTCCTGAATGTTCAGATGTATGATGTTTCTAGGTATTCAAACATGATATACAATATTTCTGAATGTTCAGATATATGATGTTTATAGGTATTCAAACATGATATACAATATTCCTGAATGTTCAGATATATGATGTTTCTAGGTATTCAAACATGATATACAATATTTCTGAATGTTCAGATATATGATGTTTCTGGGTATTCAAACATGATATACAATATTCCTGAATGTTCAGATATATGATGTTTCTAGGTATTCAAACATGATATACAATATTCCTGAATGATCAGATATATGATGTTTCTAGGTATTCAAACATGATGTACAATATTCCTGAATGTTCAGATATAGGACGTTTATAGGTATTAAAACATGATGTACAATATTTCTGAATGTTCAGATATATGATGTTTCTAGGTATTCAAACATGATATACAATATTTCTGAATGTTCAGATATATGATGTTTCTAGGTATTCAAACATGATGTACAATATTCCTGAATTTTCAGATATAAGATGTTTCTTGGTCATTCAAACATGATATACAATATTTCTGAATGTTCAGATATATGATGTTTCTAGGTATTCAAACATGATATACAATATTTCTGAATGTTCAGATATATGATGTTTCTAGGTATTCAAACATGATGTACAATATTCTTGAATGTTCAGATATAAGATGTTTCTGGGTATTCAAACATGATATACAATATTTCTGAATGTTCAGATATATGATGTTTCTAGGTATTCAAACATGATGTACAATATTCCTGAATGTTCAGATGTATGATGTTTCTAGGTATTCAAACATGATGTACAATATTCCTGAATGTTCAGATATATGATGTTTCTGGGTATTCAAACATGATATACAATATTTCTGAATGTTCAGATATGCATCCGTGTCAAACTCTATCACACTCTTCAATCACTACAGGACACATCTATCAAACTTTTCTGACACTCTTATCACCCCAAACCCAGCCGTGTCAAACCATCAGACTTTTAAATCATCAAAAGTCCCCTGTGTGTGTTCCGGGGTTCCCAATGTGTATGTGTGTATGGCGTGCGCATGCACACGTGCGTATGTGTGTTTTTTTTTTTGAGGGGTGGGGGAACAGACTTATTAACCCCCCCCCCCCTCTACTCTCCAAAACAAGCAAGCCGTAAAAGTAATATAATTAGGAGTGTTTCCTTTGAAGTTGAAGTGCACCGGATGTGAGACAAGAAACCAACACTCTTCATATAAATAAGCCAGATTTATTCTTCTTCTTTCCTTCGCATGAAATAAATTATCTATATCTGAAATGCTGTCTCTAGTGTGAACTTCACTGTCTTTTGTCATTCCCTAAGCTGGTGAAGAGACTGGTATGTGGGGTTGTTCTTTAGTTGCATCTTCCTTAGCTAGTTTATCAGCTCTTTCGTTTTATAAGCCAGATATGAAGAACAGATGTGCAAATAGAACTCCACTTCTGGAACAAGACCAAAGTTCACAAGTAGGTCAACAACCAGAACTTTCGGCTAGAGTCTACAGCAGGGGCCAACAACCAGAACTTTCGGCTAGAGTCTACAGCTAGACGCTTGCAGCGGATCGGAAGGTTGCGGGTTCGCTCCGTGGCGGAGCCGGACTATTTTCAAAAATGACCTCGGCTCCCAGGTCGACCTAGCCTTGAGTGGGTACCGGGTGCAGTCTCAGGAAGTAAAGGCGGCCGACGTAATGCTGACCACATAACCCATCAATTGTGCCGATTGGTCTATAAAAATATAGTTCTAGCCCTATATGCCCTATACGCCTAAATGCGTGGAAAAGGGTCCTCTACTTTTTACTTTTTTACTACAGCCAGTAAAGGCTAAAATGAAGAAGTCACAGGTGAGTCACACTCACTTTTGCTTTACAAAAAGAACTTTAACAAGGAACTTTACTGAGACCAAGCGAAGGAAACTGAGGCTCTCTTACCTCGCCACAAGTCCCAGCTGAATCAAACTCTATCACTCGTTGTTCACCATTGAGGAAGTAGATCTTGTGTGTTATAGGCTTTCTGTACAGACAACAGGAGATTTGTATACACATGAAGTTGGTGATACTGGATTAAATAAATTAAAAATAAGTGTATATATTTGAATACATTTGGGATGTTAGGACAAGCATAAACAGGTTGGAGCAGGTTGTGAGCACTGGAAAGATCTGTGGAATGAGAGATAGAGGCAGATAATGAGAGAAGATTCTTGACAGTCTTGTTGCATGGCATGGAGGTGTGTCAGCACACGAACTGATACATGCTGCAGGAGATCACAGACTGTGGAGAGGCACGATCGCTCATGCCAGTCAGCAAGGCACCTGCGATGCGAGACAATAACCAAACACAGCACACACAAAAATGTGTATACAGTAATCGCCCAGCAATGAAATGTATCTATATGTACAATATTTGTGGTCTTTGAATACATTACGGTAGCAATATGTTGAGTGGAGTTTTTAAAATAACAACTGGTATAAACATTTTTATACTAAATTTATTCAGACATGAAGAGATGCATACAAGCTACATGGGATGTACGTAGTTACTACAGGTGCTCAAATTGATTTCCACTAGCTTCCAGAAACTTCATAATCAGAATACAACACACAAGCAGATGGATCACCAGTCTGGTGAGATTGATGCAGGGGGAAGTGACGAGAGGTTCTGGCAGATGCTCGAGGCTCAGAGGAAAGGCAAGACGGATGTTTAATCAGAATGCTACTGGCACCATTAGTATCGGAACTCTTCACTGGCTGCTGAGGATGGGGATGGAGTGCTTATGGGAATGCCCCGCATGCTGTGAGGTTACACAAATATTAGATTTATATGTAAATAAATAAGTGTGAGACCGAGGTTACACAATTATTAGATTTATATGTAAATAAATAAGTGTGTTATCGAGGTTACACAATTATTAGATTTATATGATAATAAATAAGTGTGATACCGAGGTTACACAAATATTAGATTCATATGTAAATAAATAAGTGTGATACTGAGGTTACACAAATATCATCTATAAGCATGTTTTGTGCAGAACATTGCTCTCCTCATCGCACGCCTTAAAGTCTTTTTCTCAAATTCTCCATCCCTATGTGCTTTCATAATAGCCAATACATCTTCAATGTATCCACATTCACGGAGGTCTGGCTCTGCATTATTTTCGGGAAACTGCACCCTCCAGCCCTGTTCTCTTCAGGCCAATATAACATTTAACATGGCCAAAATACCTCAGCTTACAGGACAAGATGCTGTTTATGAGCCAATTTTCCTCCGTGCTCAGATCATGTCGGATGTCTGTGTTCTTCTTCTTCTTGGCCCATGTTATTCTAAGAACTTACCAGTAGGATTTTAGCTCAAAAGCTTAAATATGTTCTCCAAATACTCAGTAAGAGCCCATGAATCATAGCCATTAGGTGCCATGGGCAAGGTGCATGAAGTAAAGTAAAGTAAAGGACCCTTTTCACACCTGTAGGCATATAGGGCATACAGGGCTAGACCTATATTTGATAGACCAACGGCACAAGATGGGTGATGTGGTCAGCATCACGCCGGCTGCCTCCACATCCTGGGACTGCACCCGGTACCCACTCAAGGCTGGGTCGACCTGGAAGCCATGCTTATTTTTTAAGAAAAGTCAGGCTCCCCCAGGGAGCGAACCCACGACCTTCCGATCCGCGGCGCACGTCTTGCCGCTCTGCCACGGCGACTCCCAAGGTGCATGAACAAAAAATAAAATGTGTAAAAAATAACTGGCAAAACATGGAGCGAAAGACTGAGTTTGGGTTGGCTGAGTGCTTATGCTGCACTGAAGGATACAGGACAGCAGAAATAAACATGACTGACCTCTGAATCACGCATTGTATCTCCGCTATTGAAGGTGGGAATTTCCGTCTCTTCTTTTCTATGGTACGAGTGAGGCACTGCAAACACACAGTGTGAGGATTAAATTAAACAACTTTCAATATCTGCCTTTCAAAGATAGCAAGAACTTTAACATAAACTGTCATACTTTCTTCTTCTTCTTATAGTACATGCACTGTGGTATTGGTAGTCTTGTCTATCCAAAACCTTCTGTCTCATGTAGCTGTCTACTGGCAAGACATCGACCTGGCTGCTTCGAGATACTGAGCTAAGTGATTTTGTGTATTTGTGCGGTATTGTTTGATTTATGTATGTGCCGATGAAGGTTCCATAACCACAACGTTCACGTTTTGTTTGTGTTTGTTTTATTGTGAAGCTTGCTGATATACTTTTTGTTCGGTTTTATATCTTTTCTGTCTCACATAGTTTCCATCAATTCTGACACAGATGACCAGCATCTTCTCTCTTGGCCTCCCTCTGCCTGTTTCCCCTTTGAACTTTCCCACCATCACTCCAGTCTTCTCCTTCTCATCACATGACCAAAGAGTGTAGATTGTCTTTTTCTGATGTCGGCAATCAGTTCTCTTCCTGAGTTCGTTTATTTCAAGACACTTCATTACCCTTTTTTGTGTGTGTCCAGGGTATTCACATCATTCGTCTATTAACCACATCTCTGCAGCTTCCAAATAATGTTTCACTTAACAGCCAACTGTCCATGATTCACTTCCCTATATCAGGATAGGGATAAATATAGCTCTTGGGAATTATCTTTCTCATCTAAACTGACAAAGAAAGTGCATAGAATATTTTTCACTTCCTGAAATGCTGTCTTTGCTTGGGCTATCACTCTATATTTAACTTTTAAAATACATCTTTTATCTGCTGTTATCAGGGTACCCAAGTACTTCAACTTGCTTGAGGACTGTACAAACAAGTTTTCATTTTGGAGAATCCATTTTCTTTATAATTATCATTACTTCTTTTTCTCTGCAGTTACCATAAGACCCTCCCTTTATCTGACTTTCTGTTACAATTATGTCCATCATTTCTTGCAGCTGTGTTTTCATTTTCAGCGATCAAACTACATCATAAGCATATCACAGGTTGCTCACAATATGCCCACCAACTGATATTCCGGGCATAAAATACATTAATTCTTCACCATTTAGAAAAGACAACATGATTTTATTGTATCTCCTCTTCACATTCTGTAGAAAATTTTAATCTCCGTACTTTTCAAATAAAACATCAAAACTACTATTTACCTTGAGTGAAAATCTGGCAAATTTCCCTTCTTCCGTTGCTGCGTCCAGCGAGCACTTCTTGAGATGACAGATCACATACTTCTGCACCCTGGTGTTGGCAGGAGATAATGTGCTAGCGGTCACTGCCATCAGCTGCCAGCTTCGACCATTCACTGTACTGTTGGGATCTGGAAAATCATCAATACAAAACTGATAACACTCACAAACTGTCTTCATTCTAAAATGGTCGGTTTTATCGTAAGAACTCTCTGTCTAGAAGTGGTCTCCATTCTTACATTTTATGGCATGTCCTCTTTCACTGTAGGTTGAAGCTGTATATTATAACCATGCTTAACACTATCCCTAAACCTAGGATAGACCTATACAAAATGAGTTTGGCGTATTCCGCAGCTCAACTGTGGAACTAACCTCCACAATCAAAAATATCACTGGTCTCTATACATACAATCAAAAACTGTTCAAATATAATTTCAGCATAGATTACATGCCGCCATAGAAGATAACAACTATTTTAGAAATAGCGCCAATTTTCCCAACTACTACAGTTTACTGTAGTTAGAAATGTAGACATTCAAGAGCTTGTATTGAATATTTTGATGCTATTAATATTGTTTACTATTACTTCAAATGTGAATGAAATGATGTAAGAACGAGGGAGACCTCGAAGGGCAGAATGTCAGACAGGCTTGCGTGCCCATTTCTTAACCCTTAAAAAACAAAGTTTGTTCATCCTTAGACCAAGTTTTCACTCAACAGGGGTATGGTAAAATTAACGCCAGCTGCCTTTACTTCCAAGAAAAATTTGACCCGAGAGTTTGGTTCATGGAAAAATCCTTGCCCTTGAGATGTGGAGTAACTTAAAATCTTGTCAGTCATTCCTCTTCTATCTGGGTGTATAGAGATACTTTATTCTTGTTTGCTCTTTCTTTCCTACTTCAGGATGTACACACACTTTTATTCTTGTCTACTCTTTCTTCTTCTACGCCAGGATTTACGGGTACTTTGGTCTTAGTTTAGCCATTCCTATACCACCATAGTAGAAAAGGTATCCTTCTGGCTTGTTTCGTCATTGCTGACCAGGTAACTACAATTCAATCTTCACTGGAAACAGGGCACCCTATAGCTGCTCCGCTCCTGTGCCAGTAAACCACACAGAATTTCTGTTACTGACCCTTGTAAACAAAAATTGATTCAGACTGCCGTCTCAGCGAAGAAAATACGATACACATGCACTAGATGCATAATCAGCCATCAGATGTGCCAAGACAAACAGTGCAGCAACAGAAATGCAGTTCAACATCATTTCTGATCAATCCAAGCTTGCAGTATTCTTTAGTCATTCTACATCTACCAAGGGATGTACAAACAAATCCTATAGTCTAGTTATTTCAAGAACAGACCCACTGCCTAAAAAACAAAAAACAACATATCGTAAGATTTGACTAATTGGGAGCTTCTTTTGAAGACAGAATGTATCTGCCTGAGCGGTAAGCAACAATGAACTGCACACAAATAAGCATATAAAATGGATGGACACGCAAAACTCAGCCTTGGCAAAAAGCCAAAGTCCAAATGGACGAACAACCAGGACTTTCCACCACAGTTTACAGCCGGTGAAGAAGACGTTTAGTCATTTCTCTTCTATCATGAAGTGTAGAGGCAGGTACCATAACTCTAGTTCGGCCTCATGTTTAAAAAAAAATATATTTATATTTCAATACTGCAACTCTCTGTTTATTTATCATGATTCTGCTCTCAGCTAACTTGAGAACCCTTAATTTAACGGAAGTTCATCCCTGTTAACACTCATCATCATCAGGTGCCTTGCCGACTGGCGTGGGCGATCATGCCTCTCCATAATCCGCGATCTCCTGCAGCATGTATCAGTTCGTGTGCCGACACACCTCCATGCCATGCCACAAGACTGTCAAGCATCTTCTCTCGTTGTCTTCCTCTATGCCCCCTTACACAGATCTTTCCAGTGGTCACAACATGTTCTATTTTCCCTCTTCTCATAACATGGCCGAAAAATGATGACTGTCTCCTTCTGATGTCAGTCTGTTAACACTACAATACAATAAGTTAACACTACAATAAGTTAACACTACAATAAGTTAACACTACAATAAGTTAACACTACAATAAGTAAGTTAACACTACAATAAGTTAACACTACAATGAGTTAACACTACAATAAGTTAACACTACAATAAGTTAACAATCTCCAGACAACAGCTGACCATTAGCAAAGCAGATAAAATGTGGTTAATGAGAAAGAATGTCAACATGAAAGTAAAAAAACGTCCTTGTTAGCTTGCCATCACAGCAACAAGTCAGTGTTAGTTGGCTGAAATAGCAAAGATGTCAATGTTAGTTTGTTAAAAAACTAAGAAATGTTAAGTTGCTGCTATGAAGCTTTTCACCTTAATGCCCTATGTGAAGAGAGTTATACAGAAACATACACACACATACAATATTGTTGGTACTATGTCAAAAGTCACCAAAGTGCTACATTCCTGTTTTGAGAAAACTGTGTTTGAACAACACTGAAATCTTCAAAAAACTGTGAAAAAAGTAAAAGTAATATGTCATTTTGATCTATCTAGAGTAAGAATTCATATGTGTGCCTGCAATATATTGTTAAGTGACAAACACCAGCCCTGAAAATGCACTTAGGTGAAAGTGGTCACAATATTACAAAGGAATCTGTCATAGAGCCAACGATATGTGACTGTACAATGACAGAACATGCAAACAAAACATAACACAGTGTAAAGCGTGGTTAGCATAAGGCAGTGACACAGGCAGCATGCTTCATTAGAGTTAGCCAGCCAAATGTGACCTGGTACTAGCAGGAAGTCATGCCAGAAACTTTACTTGTCAACCAAATACCTGGACAACTTGGCATATTCAGTCACAATACCAGAAATACTAGATGTTTTAGCATGAAAAATACACGGTACTTATGAGCGGTGCACTGAACTTTTTTTTTGGTTCAGCATTCTGAATCCTTAAGGTTCTCTTGTACAGATATTACCCAGCTCCATTACCTCTCTGATTGGCCTTCTCTTTCCAGTTGGCAACTCCAAGTGTTTGTAGGTCTCTGGATATTATCTTTACACAGCATTCTTGCTCTGCCTCGTGGTCTACTCTCATTCAATTCTTTTCTATACACAATCTCTGTCTCTCTGTGAATTTTTTTCTCACTCTCCGTTCTCTTCTGTCTACTTTGATGGGTCCAAAAATTTGCAAAAGACTAAAATATTACTGAAAAAATCTACAATTGAAGAAGAACATTTCTTAAACTCTGTCAAAACGTCAACTGACTATTAATTTGTTACTTTATCCTTTGTATGTTTCTTAACTCTGTTAGCCCTAATCTTCTTTTGTTTTAACTCATAATTCTCAAGCTGTTACCTGAACTAACTTTGTTCTATAAGTGTACTGTTTTCCCTCATGAAAACTTTCCACTCTAATGTACACAGACTTTGGGAATTAAAAAAAAAACAGGTTTAACAACTGCCAGTGACTGAATGAGTTAAGAAATTCAAAACATTCAAAACTTGTTAGCAAAAATTTCAAGGGACCAAAAAATAAAGAATTTATGTTAACTCTTTTAGTCCCAAATAACATCTGATGTGTAAAATGACCCTTAAGCACTGAGTTCTCTCAACAGCATAATGCGTTTTCTGAATTTTAACATTTGTTATATTGTTATCCATCATTGGGAATAGTCTGCATCTGTGGCTTAGGCGCTGCGAACGAGCTCTGTAATGCTGGGGTGCTGAGTTCGATCCCAGCTGCTGGCCTTACGCCTTGCATTGGTTTCAACAGTGGTATTGAGAAGCCGACCGTCCAGAAAGCAATGTCAAACTACTGGATATAAATATGCCTAGAAAAACCACAACAGCTAAAAAATGCTGGGGTTGGTTCTGCAACGTCCTGTAAAGGATATGCAACTAACATTGTGAATAACCCAGTATATTGGGATTTTAAAAGTAATGCACTCATCATTATCATTATGGTTAGTTCTTCATTGTGCATACTAGTTTGAAATCTTCTGGTACTAAAAAAGTTAAAAAAAAATTTTTTTTGGTGTCATGAAAGTCGAGGACTAACAATAATTCATCCCTGCGGGGATCAACATTTTTTTTTAAATGTTAACTAAGTGTTCTCCTTAAGTCAGTTCATGTTAATGAGGTTTTACTGTAGTGTGTAATCTAAACTTCAAATTGTTGGAACAAAACATTGTACTAGATTCATTAAGAAACAGCAGATCACGTGGTTTGGCCATCTCAGTAGAATGCAGCAAGATCAAATACCATCACAAGCTCAGCAGATCAGCTACAAGAGCAAGAGGACGGCCATGAAAATTATGGACTGACAACATTAGAGATACCTTACGCCTTAAGGCAGGATAATAGCCAGTGGCAGCCAGCGTGCATTGGATCGCAAATTATTCCTCCCCAAGCTTAACGGCAGAATTGGTTTATGATGATGATGATGTCGATGATGATGATGATGATGTAACCTGGCTGGACTGAATGAACCAAGTAGATTATGACTCATAAGATGAAATAATTTGTGAAGCACTGGCAAGCAATATATGGTGGTTAGAGGGTTATACGGGGGGTAGTGTGTACGGGGAAACTTACGTGGCTTGCAGTTGTACTTCTTGTCTGTGTGAGCCAACAAACAACAATAAGGTTAAACACATGCATCATCACAGCCATAAGCAACATGTAAAGATGGACAACATCCAACAAATACTGCAAATTCAGATCTGAATCCAGCTGGGGGTGAAAGTAAAGTAAAGGACCCTTTCCCACACCTTCAGCTGTATGGGGCATATAGGGTTAGATTATGTTGTATAGACCCATTGGCATTTGGTGGGAGATGTGGTCAACACCACCGCAGCTGCCTTCACTTCCCAGGACTTTACCTGGTACCCATTTAAGGGTGGGTCGACCTCAGAACCAAGGTCATTTATTGAAAAAACATCCACTTACTAACACAACTTAACCAATCAATCATTCCACTTACTAGCTGTCAGATGATTAGCACCTTTTTGTCTTTCCAGACCATAGTGTTATGATGCACTATGAGGAGGCATGCGACTCACAGCCCATGGTGGTGGCGAATGTGACTAGCAAGACCCGCCTGTGTTAGGAAACTAGCTATCTAACCAATACTAATAAACCATCCAATTAACTAACTAACAAGTCAACTGACCAACCAGCCAGCTCAATTATCAATCGACCTATTATCAAACCAGTCAAGTATCTTTTTTTTTTTAAATTCTTTTTTTCACCCGTAAAATTGTCTTTGCCACTAACAGATATATAAAAAAAAAATTATAGATTGCCTACAAAGTGAGCGACATAAAAACTATCAATCAGACAGATTTCAGCAAAGATAGACTAGCTTTTATTTACACAAAAACTAACCCTCATGTTTCTTTCAGGATTTCATGCACAATTTCTAAAACTAATGCAGACTAATAAGAAATGTGATGTTAAGTTCGAGAAATAACATGCAGCTTATCAACAAAAAATACATTCAAACATTGGAAGATCAAATTCACTGCGGTGGATTTGATCCTAGATCTTCCCATGGAGTGGCCGGCTACCTTCCCGTTAGAGACACATGTGTAACTATGTGGTACTGTAAAACACAATGACGGAAGCCTAAACTGCAATCACTGACTGAATTTACCATTTGTTTGATGTAAAAAAAAAAAAAGAGGGGGGGGGGGAGTATTTGAATCTGAGAAAGTAAGGCCTAATGGCCAGGGCTGTTACCATGGACAGTGCAGGTTAAGATTTTATTTTTGCCCCCAAAGAGAAAGAATCCCCAACCATGTGAGGATTCAAACCCAGGTTTCCCACATGAGAGCCCTGTGTTCTCAAACGTTCGGCCAAAAGCTCCTCTGACAGAAGCCTAGATTCTGCTAAACTAAAAACAACATGGGGTTGGATATATTCAGGATCCTCACAGGCAATGAAAGCCCACCTATAGTAGGCTCTGAACTTAGCAACTTGAGATGAAAAGCAATTGCACAACAACACTCTGTTACATCTAATGGTAGTCATTTAAAAAGTTTGAAGTTAATCATCTTTAGTGAGACACTTCTTTTTCTCTCTTTCTTGGACAGCACACTTTGGGTGTTGTCTTCTGGTAACAATATATAAAACACTGATAACATCATATATATAACACCCAAAATGGTAAAAATAACACCATATTTATATAAGGTACGGTAACAATTTATTGCCCTTTATTTTCTTTCTATGTAATTACTGCCTCAGTGTACAGTCGACTACAAGGTGATGATCGCTTCCCACATCTGCTCACCTTGTAGTCGCTCTACTACGACTTAAACTCAAAAAAGTTTACACGCAAGTTAAGACACAGACAGTATGTTGATATGTTAACCTTTTAAGAGAAAAAGACATTGCCACTAAATTTATAGTAGAACTCAAGAATAGATTTCAAACCCTATCAAGTGACCCAGAAACTCCAACTACAATCAGCATTCAAGACAGATGGAACCAGATCAAAGAAACATACAAATCAACAGTCTGTAAATTTAGCTGGAGTTCTCAAACCCTTTGCACTGTATATAGCATTACCAAGTTGTTTTTGTAACAGATGGCATAACTTAATGTTTAACTCTTTGAGTCCCAGGGGGTTTAGCATCACTGGCCCAGGTGGTAGTAAAGAAAGTAATAAAATCGGCGCATCATGTGTTCATTGGGCTTCTAGGTAGAAACCTATGAACGTATCATGCATTCATACCGTGGGACTCAAAGAGTTAAAAATAGTTTCTGAAGAGGTTCAGTTAAAACAATGTAATGTCAGGGAAATATCTCAGTGCTGAAGGCGAGATCCCAATTGAAATCCATGAAAGTCTGAAGAATGTTTTGGAGATTTAACAATGGATGTTAGCACTGTCTGAGGCTGGGTACATCATTGTGATGAAGCTGAAGTAGGTCAAAAGGTCAATTTGACTGAATGTCTTTGGAAGCCATTTTTAAACTGTTACAGTGTTGCCACCTGTTACTGAAACAAGTTGGTAATGCTACATAGCACAGAAGAGTGTTTGAGAAACCTGTTAAATTTACAAATTGCACACCAATATGGTATTTACAAAAATAAAAAAATAGGAGGCATTATTTTTTGACCATGTCTTGTGAGTATGTGTGTGTGCACCTATATATATAGGGTGTGTTTAAAGCTCGCTACACTTTGCAGAACAAATGTGAAAAGCCCAAGTACATGAGGTCATCAAAAAGGGTGCTAAAAGGTCATTAAATCAGTGACAATAGTCAAGCTGGAAGGTACCAATTAAAAATTCATTTTAACAAGTGTTGGAAATGCCCACCACAGGCTTCAAGACATGACAGTACAACTCTCGTCATATCCCCAAATACCTTCTGCAACCATCTGCGTGTATCGACACTAATTTCAAAACACGTGTTTTAACGCCCCCCCAAAAATCTCTTTCTTCCATTGATATTGCCATTCTGTTTTGAGTGCAAAAAAATTACTCCAGCAGACGACGGCCATTCACTGCATAATACTTCACTACTGACTATTTAGCCCCTGTTTTGATGATGTCATTACTTCTTTCAAACATTTATTCTACACACAAAGTGCAGTGAGGCCTTAAAAACACCAGTGTGTTTGTGTTGTGTGTGTATATATCCATACCATATACATATATATATATATATATATACACAATAATACATAAAACATTGAGAACATTGAAAATGTTTATAATACAAAATGAAATAACAATGTCACAAGTGTGATATAGAAACTAATGATAACAATTAACATACAGTAAAGATGAAAAGAAATACACTGAACAGTCTGAGAATAATGAAAGAGAAGTAGCGTTGCCAGTTACCTGGATGATCCGTGGTCTGTTTGACCAGCTGCAGGAAGAACTCATTGCAAATGAAATCACTCTCAAGGCAGCGTTGCATTAAAGCCTGGACCATGTTCATTCTCATCTCCTCGTTGGAATCCTCTGTAGATCAATAGTACACAAATTTAAAGTAGTCCTACAGTTGTCACTGCTGCTGGGGTAGGATAATAACTGACATCTTATTATTTGATCCTTTCTGTCCTTGCCAGGCTAATTCATGGGAAGTAAAGGCCAGCAGCATGATGCTGAACCTATTACCCAATGAGCAACCCTATGCCAGACATGGTCACTCCCAAGAAATCAGAAAAGAAAATTAATTACCATTGAGAGGAGATGTCTGAAAAGGAGTGCAGGAGTGACCAGAAGAGATAACATCAGGAATAAGGTAATAAGAGAAGTCGGCACAGAACCCATTCAAAACTACATGCTAAGACAGAAAATCAAATGGTTTGCTAACTCAGAGAGAATGCCTTGTGAAGCCATACAAGGAATACACAAAACGAGGAGATGGATGAAGAGCATGAGGTAGACCAAGAACATGATAAAGAGATAACGCCAGAGAAACTCTTCAACAGTGTGACCTGTCTATGGTCAAGGCAGCCAGAAGAGCAAAATGTAGAACCTTATATCTCCCTCGTCATCCAAAGTGGTAAAAGAGGAAGAAAAGAAGAAGAAGAAGAAGAAGAAGAAGAAGTAGAAGAAAAAAGAAGAAGAAGAAGAAGAAGAAGAAGAAGAAGAAGAAGAACAGAGCAGATTGGTCTTTAAAACATAAGTCTACACTATCTGCCAGACGTATCAGGGGAAAAAAAGTAATTAATTACTCCCCGTACAACTTAGAGGCAGGAGCCCAAAGACAACTTATCACAGACATCAGAAGGAGATATTTATCATTTTTCGGCTATGAGAAGAGGGAAAATGGAACATGTGACTACTGGAAAGATCTGTGGAAGGAGCGATAGAGGAAGATAACGAGAGAAGATTCTTGACAGTCTTGTTGCATGGCATGAAAGTGTGTCAGCACACGAACTGATACATGCTGCAGAAGATCGCAGGTTGCGGAGAGGCATGATCACCGATGCCATTCGGCTAGGCACCTGATTGGCGAATATGGTTCATAATTCTGAATTACCTGATTCGATTCAACTGCAGGCAATGTGGCAGCAGACTGCTTTGAGTTCATATCAATAATGATATGGAGTGCGGACCCTTCAGAAAGCAATGGCAAACTATTTAATGTAAAACTGAATAGTAAATCATGAACAGCCAACAAATGCTAGAGGTAGGTTTGCAACATCCTGTAAAGGATATGCAAGTAACATAAAGCATGATCCCTGTAGCTATAACAACAATCCCCAGGGATCTCCATAAAAACTTCATTCGTAAACCGAACAATGCAGCTATGAAACAAACATATAGCCCTGACAGCAAGGCAGATAGACTGACCACTTCACCACAGAGATCCCTTGCTATAAAAAAATACTTCTTTTGTTTTTCTTCAGCAATCCTAGCCCTTGAGGTTCATTGCTGCAGATATCACCTGCCTCCATTCATCTCTTTGGTCGCCATCTCTTTCCATTTGATGACACCAAGGGTTTGCAGGTCTGTCTGGACATTATTTATCCATCGTTTTCTTAGTCTGCCTTGTGGTCTAAGACCATTCATCTCCCTTGTGTAGACAGTTTTTACCTCTCTGTCATCTGACATTCTCTCAATATGCCCTAGTCTATTAGCTCTCATGACGTCAATGATCAATGGTCATTTAAACAGACTGAATTTCATTACTGCTTCTCACTCTTCATTTCACGCTTTTTACATCTTTGGTAGGTATATAAAAAAAAAAAAAAAAAAAAAAAAAAGCTTGGGCACGTGCGCACACACTTACTCACTCACTAACAATTTCTCTCTCGCACACACACACACACAAACTATTTTAAAAGTAGGGGATTCATGGTAGACCTTTGGGAATAGACCTCAAATTTTATCTAATTTGGAGCAACGTTATTTTTTAACTATGTAAGCTAACATACACACCTGATTCCTCAATACCAGCATAGATGAGGAGCTGAGTAAACATCTTGACCGCAGATTCCTCCATGCTGGGGTCAAAGATCATGGTCAGGCTCTGTCTGATTGGAGTCTTGGTGTACGACCAGAAGTCCACGCTGAAACTGGCGCTGCCGTCACTGGCAGACACACTGCGCATTCTGTCCATCTTTGATTTAGTCAACCTGGCAATCGAATAAGATAGGTGGCCACAGTTCTCATCTCAAATACTGCCATGATGAGGATGAAAATGATGATGATGATGTTGATTATGTTGATAACTGTACAGGATATAAATAAATGGTGGAATAGACTGCAATCCTTTTGTGACATATAGTAAGTAAAGGACCCTTTTCCACGCCTTTAGGCATTTAGGGCATATAGGGCTAGACCTATATTTTTATAGACCAATCGGCACAAGATTGGTGATGTTGTCAGCATCATGCCGGCCACCTTTACTTCCTGGGACAGCACCTGGTACCCACTCAGGGTTCGGTAGAAATGGGAGCCAGGTCATTTTTGAAAAAAGTCTGGCTCCACCAGGGAGCGAACCCACAACCTTCCAATCCGCGACGAGCGTGACATATAGTGGCACAATGATAAGTGTGAAGGTGGTGGTGTGACATCAACCCTGAGAGTGTTTCTGATGAACTCTGAAGACATCTGAAAATCAGAAGTGGCACAATGACAAGTGTGAAAGTGGTGGTGTGACATCAACCCTGAGAGTGTTTCTGATGAACCCTGAACACATCTGAAGATCAGAAGCACTTTGTTGGTTCTAGTGAAAATGTGACAAACCTACGAACCTTCGGAGAGTTTCTGATGAACCCTGAACACATCTGAAGATTAGAAGCACTTTGTTGGTTCTAGTGAAAATGTGACAAACCTACGAACCTTCGGAGAGTTTCTGATGAACCCTGAACACATCTGAAGATTAGAGTCTAGTGTGAATGTGACAAAACTACAAACCTTCGGAGAGTGTTTCTGATGAACCCTGAACCCACATCTTGGACAGGGCGCTGCAGGAGTCTGCTCTCAGACAAAGCCTTCCTACATCTGACCAGTTCCTCGTACAGCTTCAGCTTGTCTTCATCGGTCATCTTCACCTGCTGCCAAGGGGGGAAAAAACAAACCATGCGTGCTGGTACTAGTGATTTTTAGTTTTAAATTAACATAACCCGAGTTTCAAAATCCGACATCACAGCACTTAGGACATTCCCATAAGGACTCTGTCTCCATGAAGAGTTCCAACTCCGATGGCACTAGTAGCAGTCTGACTGTACACCCACTTTGCCTTCCCTGTCAGTGTTGAGAGTCAGCCAGGTCCCTGGTGACTCCCCACTACACCATTCTCTTCATACCATGAGGATCTGTTGTGCCTCTTGCACTGTTCACTAGCTCACAATGGGCCTTGACAACATCTAGCTTGTCATGCATCAGTGTAACACTGTGTAAATCAGAACCAGCCAGTCTGTCTGCATGTTAATTTCCCGACACACCTGCATACAACAGAGAAAATATCCAAACGATGCCATCTAATTGGAACCTCTGAAGATCTTTTGGAATTAAGTGGATATAGAGATGAATGGATGTGGGTCTGGTGGGTTGGATACATGGACAGACAGTTTGAGACATGGAGAGTGTTTGAAGCATAGACACTCTCACTCATAGACATAGGCTAAGACATGCAAAGTGTTTGAGACATAAACAGATTCAGCCAGAGACAGTATGGGAAGTTGCTAAACACTGAGACCCTAGTTCCGGTCTAAAAACTAAAAAGATTCATTCAGAGAGTCTGAAACATGCAAAGTGTTTGAGACATAAACAGATTCACTCAAAGACAGTCTTGGACACAGACAAGCACTGAGAGATAGCTGTGGTATGAACAAATTCACTCAAAGTCAGTCTGGGACACAGATATGGAGAATATTTCAGTCATTCACGGATTAATTCAGATACAGTCTAATATAGGCAAACATAGAGACATAGTTAAGATTAATAAAACACACACACAACAAAACACATTCAGCTGGAGACAGTCCAAGACATAGGGTAAGACATGGAGAATGTTTGAGACAAACAGATTCACTCGAAGGAAGTTGGATAAATAACACACAGAGGCAGCGGAGACATGCACAGATTTAGATAAGAACAGTCTGAGATTTAATGGCTGCAGGAGCGACCAATGCAAAATAATCCCTCTCTCGACCTGCCTTGTTAACTCCAAATAAAGGTAAAACCAAAATGTTTGGATCAACACATGCTGCAGAAGCTGCCAGATCATAAAAGCAGTGCTCTATCTGACCATCCGTCAGAGCTTCCACTGTAGACCAGCAGCCGGCCAAGACTAAGGGCCTGGTCTGCCCAGCCATAACATTTAAGTTTTCAGGTTGTATTTTCTCTTCCTAATATAAGGTTAGAATGCCCTATATTCTACCCACTGCTGTTACTATAATTTTGGATGTCAGATTTGCTATATCAGCTTCCTCGTGTGGGTTCTGGGGTCCTATTATAGGGAAAACAAGAATAGACCCGCTGCCTACCCAAAGAGTCGACTAATTGGGAGATTCTTTCGAAGTGGGAGTGCATCTGCCTGACAGGCAAGGAACCAGCAGTCTGCATACAAATGTCAGATCTGTCAAATGGATGCACACGCAACACTCAGGTTCTGGAACAGGACTGCAGTCCAAAAGTGGATGAACAACCAGAACTTTACACCAGAGTTTACAGCTGGTGAACGTGAAGAAGAAGAAGAAGCTATACCAGCTGTTGTGCCTCACATACAAGTATAAACAAGCCAAATACAACATACATGGAAAATGCTGAAAATAATTACAGAAAAGCCTTCCAATCTAATACCTTTTTTGATCCTTCACTTTCAGATTTCATCCAGGATGCGTGCACTGGAGAGTAGGAAGCGATGAGATAGCCAATGTCTTCCTTCTGACTCGTCTCAAATACAAAAGTCTTCTGCCCCAAGCCAGCCTGTGCCGTGCTGTACAGCTCCAGCGTCAGATAATTCTCATTGGGGTCTATAAGAAAGTACTCGATGTCGCTGTATTTGAAGTCGTGGATCACTGATTTGTCCTTGACCCGCACAAACTTGACCCCATCCATGTTGACGGCTAGTAAAGATTCGCTGGTGTGCGACCACATTCCCTTGTGCATGATGGGAAATAATGTGCAGCCGTAGAGAGAGAATTGTTTAACACAGGTCAGGTACCACACTTTGGCTTCCAGCTCGCTCTTGTCACCTCCATAGTGCTGCAGATACAGAGAATATATAACATCAGTCAATGGATAGACAGAATTAATGAGTCATCGGTCAGTTAATATATAGAATATATAACATCAGTCTGTGAATGGACAGAATTAACAAGTCATCGGTCAGTTGATGGAGAGAATAAATGCTATCTGATAGAGCTGATGGAGATAAAGAATAATGAGTCAATGGTCAGTTGATAGAGAATAGATGAGGTTATTGGTCAGCTAACAGAAAGAATCAATGAGTCATCAGTCAGTTGACAGAGAGAACAGACGAGTCATTGGTCAGTTGACAGAGAGAACAGACGAGTCATTGGTCAGTTGACAGAGAGAACAGACGAGTCATTGGTCAGTTGACAGAGAGAACAGACGAGTCATTGGTCAGTTGACAGAGAGAACAGACGAGTCATCAGTCAGTTGACAGAGAGAACAGACGAGTCATTGGTCAGCTGACAGAGAGAACAGACGAGTCATCAGTCAGTTGACAGAGAGAACAGACGAGTCATTAGTCAGTTGACAGAGAGAACAGACGAGTCATTGGTCAGCTGACAGAGAGAACAGATGAGTCATCAGTCAGTTGACAGAGAGAACAGACGAGTCATTGGTCAGTTGACAGAGAGAACAGACGAGTCATCAGTCAGTTGACAGAGAGAACAGACGAGTCATTGGTCAGTTGACAGAGAGAACAGACGAGTCATTGATCAGTTGACAGAGAGAACAGATGAGTCATTGGTCAGTTGACAGAGAGAACAGACGAGTCATTGGTCAGTTGACAGAGAGAACAGACGAGTCATCAGTCAGTTGACAGAGAGAACAGACGAGTCATCAGTCAGTTGACAGAGAGAACAGATGAGTCATTGGTCAGTTGACAGAGAGAACAGACGAGTCATTGGTCAGTTGACAGAGAGAACAGACGAGTCATCAGTCAGTTGACAGAGAGAACAGACGAGTCATTGGTCAGTTGACAGAGAGAACAGACGAGTCATTGGTCAGTTGACAGAGAGAACAGACGAGTCATTGGTCAGTTGACAGAGAGAACAGATGAGTCATTGGTCAGTTGACAGAGAGAACAGAGGAGTCATCAGTCAGTTGACAGAGAGAACAGACGAGTCATCAGTCAGTTGACAGAGAGAACAGACGAGTCATTGGTCAGTTGACAGAGAGAACAGACGAGTCATTGGTCAGTTGACAGAGAGAACAGACGAGTCATCAGTCAGTTGACAGAGAGAAAAGACAAGTCATCAGTCAGTTGACAAAGTGAACAGACGAGTCATCAGTCAGTTGACAGAGAGAAAAGACAAGTCATCAGTCAGTTGACAGAGTGAACAAATGAGTCATCAGTCAGTTGACAGAGAAAACAGACGAGTCATCAGTCAGTTGACAGAGAGAAGAGACGAGTCATCGGCCAGTTGACAGAGAGAACAGACAAGTCATCAGTCAGTTGACAGAACAGATAAGTTATCAGTCAGTTGACAGAGAAAACAGATGAGTCATCAGTCAGTTGACAAAGAGAACAGACGAGTCATCGGCCAGTTGACAGAGAGAACAGACGAGTCATCAGTCAGTTGACAGAGAGAACAGATGAGTCATCAGTCAGTTGACAGAGAGAACAGATGAGTCATCAGTCAGTTGACAGAGAGAACAGACGAGTCATCAGTCAGTTGACAGAGAGAACAGATAAGTCATTTTGTAATCTGACAGAAAGAACAGATGCATCAGTCCTCCGTATGATGATTGAGAGAATAGATGAGTCATCGACTTGTTGATAGAGAAAATAGTTGAGTCATCGGTAAGTTGATAGAGATAATAAATGAGTCATCAGTCGATACAGAGAACAGATAAGTCATCAGTCAGCTGACAGAGAGAATAGATTAGTCATTGGTCATCTGACAGAGAGAATAGATGAGTCATCACTTAGTAGATAGAGAGAACAGATGAGTCATCAATCAGTTGATAGAGACAACAGATTAGTCATTTTGTAATCTGACAGAAAGAACAGATGCATCAGTCATCCGTAAGATGATTGAGAGAATAAATGAGTCATCAACTTGTTGACAGAGAGAATAGTTGAGTGACAATAGATGAGTCATCACTCAGTTGATAGAGAGAATAGATGAGTCATCACTCAGTTGATAGAGAGAATAGATGAGTCATCACTCAGTTGATAGAGAGAATAGATGAGTCATCACACAGTTTTGTAGAGAGAATAGATGAGTCATCACTCAGCTGATAGAGAGAACAGATGAGTCATCACTCAGTTGATAGAGAGAATAGATGAGTCATCACTCAGTTGATAGAGAGAATAGATGAGTCATCACTCAGTTGATAAAGAATAGATGAGTCATCACTCAGTTGAAAGAGAGAATAGATCAGTCATCACTCAGTTGATAGAGAGAATAGATGAGTCATCACTCAGTTGATAGAGAGAATAGATGAGTCATCACTCAGTTGATAGAGAGAATAGAGGAGTCATCACTCAGTTGATAAAGAGAATAGATGAGTCATCACTCAGTTGATAAAGAGAATGAATGAGTTATTGGACACCTATATATTTATATATATAGTGCTTTACTACTTGTACAGGTTTCTTTAACAAAATGTTACTTACCATGTGAGCTTTGGCCACCTCCTGTGACCAGTTTTTGCCAGAAGATGCTAGGATCCTTTTAAACAAGTACTGGTCAGCCTCACTGTAACGAAACTCCTTGCCAGTTTCAAACTTCCCCAGATGACCTGCGCCTGGAGTCCAGCCAGTTGGAGAGCAACTTTGTCGGAGACACTGAATTCATCGCACTGTAGATGAGATAACACCCACAACTATCAAAGACACTGAACTCATCACACTGTAGATGAGATAACACCCACAACTATCAAAGACACTGAACTTATCACACTGTAGATGAGATAACACCCACAACTATCAAAGACACTGAACTTATCACACTGTAGATGAGAAACACCAACAACTATCAAAGACACTGAACTCATCACACTTTAGATGAGACAACACTGACAACTATCAAAGACACTGAACTTATCACACTGTAGATGAGAAACAGCAACAACTATCAAAGACACTGAACTCATCAAACTGTAGATAACACCAACAATTATCAAAAACACTGAACTTATCACACTGTAGATGAGAAACAGCAACAACTATCAAAGACACTGAACTCATCAAACTGTAGATAACACCAACAATTATCAAAAACACTGAACTCATCACACTGTAGATGAGAAACACCAACTATCAAAGACACTGAACTCATCACACTGTAGACAAGAAACACCAACTATCAAAGACACTTAAACTCATCACACTTTGGATGAGATAACACTGACAACTATTAAAGACACTGAACTCATCACACTGTAGATGAGACAACACTGACAACTATCAAAGACACTGAACTTATCACACTGTAGATGAGAAACACCAACAACTATCAAAGACACTTAAACTCATCACACTTTGAATGAGATAACACTGACAACTATCAAAGACACTGAACTTATCACACTGTAGATGAGAAACACCAACTATCAAAGACACTTAAACTCATCAAACTGTAGATAACACCAACAATTATCAAAAACACGGGACTCATCACACTGTAGATGAGAAACACCAACTATCAAAGACACTGAACTCATCACACTGTAGACGAGAAACACCAACTATCAAAGACACTTAAACTCATCACACTTTGGATGAGATAACACTGACAACTATTAAAGACACTGAACTCATCACACTGTAGATGAGATAGCACTGACAACTATCAAAGACACTGAACTTATCACACTGTAGATGAGAAACACCAACAACTATCAAAGACAACACCAACAACCATCAAAGACACTGATATGATAACAACAACAACTATATCAAAGACACTGAACTCATCACACTGTAGATGAGAAACACCAACAACTATCAAAGACACTGAACTCATCACACTGTAGATGAGATAACACTGACAACTATTAAAGACACTGAACTCATCTCACTTTAGATGAAATGACACTAATAACTATCAAAGACACTGAACTCATCACACTGTAGATGAGAAACAAACAACTATCAAAGACACTGAACTCATCACACTGTAGATGAGATAACACCAACAACTATCAAAGACACTGATATGATAACACCAACAACTATATCAAAGACACTGAACTCATCACACTGTAGATGAGATAACACCAACAACCATCAAAGACACTGATATGATAACAACAACAACTATATCAAAGACACTGAACTCATCACTCTGTAGATGAGAAACACCAACAACTATCAAAGACACTGAACTCATCACACTGTAGATGAGATAACACTGACAACTATTAAAGACACTGAACTCATCTCAGGGAGAAGAAAAAGAACAGACCCACTGATTCCCTAATAAGCATGATGTAAGAGTTGACTAATTAGGGGATTTCTTTGAAGTTGGAGTGCATCTGACTGAGAGGCAAGGAACCAACAGTCTGCACACAATAAAGCCAGATCTGCAGAGTGGATGTGCGTGTAACATTTAAGTTCTGGATCAAGACTAAACTCTGCCGGAGTTTACAGCTGATGAGGAGGAAGAAGAATTTACTCTGTTGCCTTCTCTGTGTTTTTTTCGGAACCTACATGGGGAGAAGTTTTAATAATTCACACTAGATCGGCAGCACATATTCTAGCCACGCATCTCCCTACAACCAGGTTCTGACAGTAAAGGGCTTTTCCCAATGCTTCGAGCCGGATCTTAAAAAAAATTTACCTTGGCTTCCAGGTTGACCCACCATAAAAAGGCTCAAGGTAAAGTCCTGAGAAGTAAAGGCGGCTGGTGTAATGTTGACTACATCATAGTATTTCTTGAAATACTTATGGGTAGATTTTTAACTCTAAATTGTGCCCAGGCAGCACTGTTAGGCTACTCTTTTCGATTTCCAACTGAACCAAGGGATTTTTTATCTGTGCAACAATACACACGGGCGTCCGATCTTGCTACTACCCAGAGACCAGGGTAAATGACTAGATGTCCACGTGTAAAAATTCAGCCTCCACTGGGACCTAAACCCAGGACCTTCAGCACTCGAGGCAGATGCCTTGCCTCGAGACCATGCAGCCCCCGCATCAATCATCAGAAGAGACATTACCTGGCGTCATAATGGAAGGTGACGCCCCTTCCAAACAACAGCCATTGTTTTTTCATCCAAAAGGTAAATTTTTGTTGAAATTTTATTTGTATATTTTTTTACATCATTAGGACAATGATAAAGCAAAAACAAGTACAGTTGTTAATATGTAATTAAAATGTATTTACAATATTTACAACAATTTCCGAGATTAATTTTCTCATATTGTTGTTATTAAAGAACAGGTAGGATGGGAATGGATTAAATAATTTTTTAGTTAATTCTTATGGGAAAAACTCATTTGATAATTGTTTTTCATATTTGTTCTTCCCTCAGGAAAAAATTAATGAGGAATATTGGAGTTCCACTGTATGTTGAATGTTAAATTAAGAATCAACATCACAGCATTCGGAAGACTCCCATAAGTGCTCAGTCCCCATCTTCAGCAGCAAGCGAAGAGTTCAAATTCTGATGGTTGTATTATTTATAAAATGAATGAATAAATTAATTATATGATTAATGAAACAGGCTGTATATACCAGACTAAGCTTTCAGTGTGAGTGTGAACCTAGTACTTCTTCTTCTTCTTCTGCCTTTCTATCCCTCAATGGAGCATAGGCCCTCAACCAACTCACGTCAAGTTGTTCTATCCTTCGCCATTGCATGGAGCTCTCCCCATGTCCTCCCAATCTTTCTAACCTCGTTCTCCAGCTCTCTTCTCCATGTGTTTTTTGGCCTTCCTTTCTTCCTATGCCCCTGTGGGTTCCAATGCAAAGACATTCTAGTAATGCTGTTCTCCTGTTTTCTCAGTGTGTGCCCTATCCAACGCCAGCATCTTTTCCTCACTTCCTGATCCACTGGAGCCTGTTTAGTTCTCTCCCAAAGAACCTAGTTCTGCCCTAACTAAACAAGCAAACAGCAGTTACCTTGACAACTTTATGGACGGCTTCAGCATACAACAGATGATATTCAATAGGATCACTTGGGATATCATGGACGTGTCTGTAGACTCGTTTCCTGAACACCAGTCTGGAGTCTGCTCCTCCCAGGGCCATTTTGGGTCCTTTCTTGGACATGGTCTCGTATGCACTAAGTTGGGTGGACAGGCAGTCATTGCTGAGGGAACAAATATATTGTGTAAGTTTAGGGGTACTGTTGTGTGGAAAAATAAATTGTGTATAGTTTAGTGGTACTGCTGAGTGAACAAATAAACTGTGAATAGTTTAGTGGTACCGTTGAGTGAACAAATAAATTGTATATAGTTTAGTGGTACTGTTGAGTGAACAAATAAATTGTGTATAGTTTAGTGGCACTGCTGAGTGAACAAATAAATTGTGTAAAGTTTAGTGGTAGTACTGAGTGTACAAATAAATTGTGTATAGTTTAGTGGCACTGCTGAGGGGACAAATTAAAAGACTTGTGTAATTAGTTCAACTTGTTTAAAAATTTTTTAAAAACTGAATGCACAAATTATACCAGACAAACAAAACTGAACTTAATAAAAGCATGTAAAAAAAAAAAGTAGAGGACCATTTTTATGACAATGAGGTATCGGCACACTGATCCTAGACATATTTATGTAGACTGATCAGCAGCGAATATCCCAGTGTGGGTACCGGGTCCCCAATGTGGGGAAAACAAAAACAGACCCACTGTCTACACAAAAGCATGTCGACCGAGTCAACTAACAGGGAGCTGCCTTTGAAGTTGGAGTGCATCTGCCAGAGAGGCAAGGAAACAACAGTCTGCATGCACATGAGTCAAATCTGTAAAATGGATGTGCATGCAACTACTGAAACAACATCTATAATTAAATTCATTGCTTAAAAACAAAAAAAGGACTAACATGGTTTGGCAATTTAATGAGAATAAATCTAATGATGCCAGCAATGAGAGCACACAATATGAAAGTAGAAACCCCAAGAGGTAGGGGACGACCAAAAAGAAGATGGACTGATGCAATCACTGAATACTTGAGACTCTACAACATCACAGCATCCCAAGCAACCCCAAGCGTGCCCTAGCACACATACCAATCATCTGTTAACCTGTGATGCCTAGCGGCACAAGGCAAAATATGGACAAAAGAAAGGAAGTAAAGAATGTTTAAAAAAAAAATACTGAGTGGGCAAATAAACAGCGTTAGAACAGATTAAAGTCTTAATGAGTTGCGAACAGAAACCTGGCAAGAGCATCCCTAACAGTGACTGCAGTCACATCTCACCATTTCACAGCTCACTGGCCTGTTTTACAATATCACCCAGGTGCAATAATCTGGATAAAACAAGTACTCACCCCTCCCATTTTGCTAAAATATCAGTAATATACTCATAGCTTCGGATGAATCTCTCGGCTTCTTTCGTCACCTGAGAAAATATTATTGATAAGTAAGATAAGATGTTTTCTAGATTTACATTTTTTACAATTCTTAACAATAAGAGAGACAGCACTTTGTAACAAATTACAAATGAATAAGATATACTATACAATATGAAAGAGATAAAGCTTCATAAAAACAGAGTGAGATCAAACTTGTCACAATACTGAAAGAGAGGACACTTGTTACATTACAACACTCGACGAGAGAGATAACATTTGTTACAATACACCACTAAAGGAGAGAGATGGTACTTGTTACAATACAACGTGCTTGTCACAACCCTATGAGTACAGTCAGTGGCGGAATGGACCACACCGTAAGGTGTGCGTGTTGAGGTGACACCCCATGGTTGACACAAAGGTCAGGGCCGTGACTGGTCAAGTCTGTTCTGTGAATGCACGGTGAAACCAGTGAAACCAGCGCTCAGGAGAAAACAGCTTGGCCACGACAAGAAAGGGTGAACTCTGTTGCAGACAAGTTCGCAACACGATTACCCCCTTTGGGGACTGAGCTGGTGAACCGGTCAAGAGACACGAGGTGAAAGGAACACAGGACATTCGGTGTGCGACGGTGAGACGAAGCAGACGTGTTAGCGAGACAGTGATAGTATATTAGAGTTAGGATATTTCTGTTAGTGACTGCATAGATTATTTACAGTGTTCTGTTAGAATAGGATAGTTTTTGTGCTGTGTATTTAACTGGTACAAGGTATTGTGTTGTTCCATAAGAGGTAAATAGGTTCCAGTTACTTCTAACCAGTTAAATCGTTTAGGCACGTTCTGTGAGAGAACGTCTAGCCTTGCCACGCTGACCCTGCACTGGACAGAGGCTGTGACATCTTCTTGGTCGGTCAGTGTGGCGATAGAAAAGAATGTATCTCACCGTGCTGTGGTTTGTGCACCAGGAGATTGCCTGTAGAACGTACTGGGGAACGAGGCGATTGTAAAGCCCGTTCGGCCAGAGGGTCCAGGCAATAGGTGGCCAGACAGCGGGAAGTCAACTGTCTATTGTATTACCTGTACTTGCAATAAAGATTGTCGTGTGCTCTGTGTGCGTTGGGGTTCAGTGTGTGTCAAAGGTTAGTTTGTCTGTCATAGGCCCAGTTACTAGCCACGGACCAACAAGGTCACCTAGAGGTCTGTGACATTGCTACAACACTATAGGAAAGAGAAGGAACAATATAACAATAGAGGAGAGAGATGTCACTCATTTAAAACAACACTGTAGCAGAGAGAGAAAACACTTGTTATAATACAAAATTATAGGAGAGAGATGACACTTGTTACAATACAAAATTATAGGAGAGAGATGACACTTGTTACAATACAACGTGCTGCAACACTATAGGAAAGAGAAGGAACAATACAACATTATAGGAGAGAGATGACACTTGTTACAATACAACGTGCTGCAACACTATAGGAAAGAGAAGGAACAATACAACATTATAGGAGAGAGATGACACTTGTTACAATACACCACTATAGCAGAGAGAGGACACTTGTTACAATACAACATTTTAGGAGAGAGATGACACTTGTTACAATACAACGTGCTGCAACACTATAGGAAAGAGAAGGAACAATACAACATTATAGGAGAGAGATGACACTTGTTACAATACACCACTATAGCAGAGAGAGGACACTTGTTACAATACAACATTATAGGAGAGAGATGACACTTGTTACAATGCATCACTATAAGAGATATATATTACACTTGTTAAATACAACACTATAGGGGAGAGATGACACTTGTTACAATTCTACACTATAGGAGACAGAAGACACTTGTTACAATACAAACTATAGGAAAGAGATGACACCTGTTACAGTACAACACTATAAGAGAGATTTGGCTCTTGTTAAATACAACACTACAGGAGAGAATGAAATACTATACAAGAGAGATGACACCAGACAACATAATGACAAGAGATGGCATTTATTACAATACAAGACTGCTGGAGGGAGACGACACTACACAACAACAAAGATGACACTTTTTATAAAACAACACAGACACTGAAGACAAATCTACCAAAGACAACAATGTACACATCCCACCTCATAAAGTGCCCAGCCCTCCACAGACTGAAGCCCAATCTTTTTGGCCACTCTGTTTAGAACCTCATGTGTTGTGTCCACCGGCTCCAGGCTGATTGCCTTGGTCTTGCCATCCATAAAGAAGACTTTACATACAATAGGAGTCAGTCTCTGCACACTCTGCACACACAATCAATGGGATGGGGTTCCAGGGAAGAAACACATGATATCAATTATAGGACTAAAACTGACATGCATTAAATAATCAGAAGATGACAAGGGGACAGGACGTTTCAATAACCAACACAGAACAGGCGTCATCAGGCGTTTACACTTGTGGAGCTTTTGAGGAGGAGATTGGAGCACCTACAGATCTGTCTGGAGTGCTTTGATGATAATCCTTTCTAATCGCTAATCACCAGAAGGATACAAGGTACATTTTGGGTCATGTCGTCAGAAGGAGAAAACTGGGGTACAACGTGACAGTGTAAAAGTTGGAGGGGAAAAGAGGCAGAGGGAGACAGAGAGAGATGATGTTTGACATTATGACATCACAGCATGGTAGATCATCTGTGTAACTGATTGACAGTACACTTATGTATAGGGTGTGATGATTCCTTGGGTCAGCCCTGGACCAGAACGTCATGTGTCGGCTGTAAATTTATCGAAGCCTCCTTGGATGGCCGAGGGATGCCCGTGGCCTGCGCCTGTTTTTCTTAGAGGGCCGACCAGGAGCATCACCTATAGATACAAAGGAGACAAAGAGGATACCATGCAAATAAGGTTATGCCACATTCCAGGAAACTAAACAGGAAGTTAACTTGGTCAGCAAATGCTTGATGAAGTCAGATGTGTCAACTGAAAGGAGCAAATCAAAAGGCGCAAATATCACAGCTATGCTGTAAACAAGCAGAACAAAATTACATTGCTTGGATGAATGAAAAGGAAGAAGAAGAAGAAGAAGAAGAAGAAGAAAACTGTCCCTTAGATTCTCTGTAATCTAAGCTCTAACTGTCAGGACCGTGCTGGTATTTCCGTACGTCAAATAAATATATCACCTTCATTGAATGTCCAGTGCAGTGGTGGCCTTCCCACTTGGTACTTGGTTGTTTCCAGCCTATCTTATTACCTTTTGCTTCAAAGAGGCCAGTTTTGCTATTTGAACAAACTGGGAACGAACTTTTACCCTGATCTAATTACTTTTTCTGTTCCTATGCCAGTTCCCTTGTATCTTCGCATTTACAGATTCCTGACAAACACTACCTATTGACACATTCGACACGACTGGTTTTTAAAAAATATACAAAAACATTAATTGATTTAATTTTTCTTTTTTCTTTTCAATAACTACATTTCGCTATATTGATCGGTGGGCCACTTGCTAGACCTCGGCGGGCCAGATTTGGCCCGCAGGTCGCCAGTTGAATAACCCTGACCTAGACTGTCTCTGACAACCCAAGACTGTCTCTGACAACCTAGACTGTCTCTGACAACCTAGACTGTCTCTGACAACCTAGACTGTCTCTGACAATCCAGACTGTCTCTGACAATCCAGACTGTCTCTGACAACCTAGACTGTCTCTGACAACCCAGACTGTCTCTGACAACCCAGACTGTCTCTGACAACCTAAACTGTCTCTGACAACCTAAACTGTCTCTGACAACCTAAACTGTCTCTGACAACCTAGACTGTCTCTGACAACCTAGACTGTCTCTGACAACCCGGACTGTCTCTGACAACCCAGACTGTCTCTGACAACCCAGACTGTCTCTGACAACCTAGACTGTCTCTGACAACCTAGACTGTCTCTGACAACCTAGACTGACTCTGACAACCTAGACTGTCTCTGACAACCTAGACTGTCTCTGACAACCTAGACTGTCTCTGACAACCTAGACTGACTCTGACAACCTAGACTGTCTCTGACAACCTAGACTGTCTCTGACAACCTAGACTGACTCTGACAACCTAGACTAACTCTGACAACCTAGACTAACTCCGACAACCTAGACTGTCTCCGACAACCTAGACTGTCTCTGACAACCTAGACTGACTCCGACAACCTAGACTGTCCCTAACAACCTAGACTGTCTCTGACAACCTAGATTGTCTCTGACAACCCAAACTGTCTCTGACAATCTAGACTGTCTGACAACCTAGACTGTCTCTGACAATCTAAGACTGTCTGTCGCGTGTGGATGTGCATTAGAACGCACCAGTACTGAGTGAGCAAATAGGACGTCAAAACAATACGTAACATTGCGAAGGTATTGTTGTCAAAGGCAGTTGATTTTTACATTCCGAAGGAGACGGACGTGTGGATCCTTGAGGACGCTTTACCCTGTGATTCCACGGAAGCAGACGTTGTATACAGTTGGATCCTTGAGGACGTTTTACCCCGGGACTCCAATATAAACCTCAGCAGAAAGCTGGTATATTGTCACAGTTCGGCAGTAAGCCGGTATACTTACATCAACTTATTCAGACTGCGGAACAGAAGACTGTCTGGATCTCAAGGTCGGACTGCGACCCGTCGTGAAAACATATCAGTCCATGGATGCACGAGCGGGCTTGTATTGATGTGTTTGGATGAGTCTGGATTATTAATTGCATATTTTCTCCTTGTGTTGATCATTGCTATTGTCAATACACAAATGGAACCTTTAAAGAGAGTTTTTGTTCCGCTACGTTTGGAAGCTTCAATATTCATCATGTTGTGTTACACTTGGCCAGTGGCATATTAAGTTGTTGGTGCTATTTGTTACATTGCGACGCCCTTATTCATCTTTGGTACGCCGCACACAACCACGCAGCCTTTACAGCACGTCACACTGTACGCCAAGCTTTCGCTCGTCACACTGTCCCTAACAAACTAGACTGTCGACAACCTAGACCGTCTCTGACAACCTAGACTGTCTCTGACAACCCAAAATTGAACAACTCATCAAATACCTCTCCCTGCTTACATATAAAGGACTATTTCTATGCCTTCAAGCATATTGGGCATATAGGGCTAGATCTATATTTTTTAGACCAATCGGCACTTGGCGGGTGATCTAGTCAGCATCATGCTGGCGGCCTTCACTTGCCAGGACTGTATCCTGCTCACCTATGACCCCTCTAATTCACCAATTAAATCAGCTATAGTAATGTTATCAATGTATACTGACCATGATCTCAACAGTGGATGGAGGGTACCTACGGGTGGTAGCCCTGGGCACGGTCAGTTGTTTGTAGCACTGCATGGCATATCTGCCCCCAACAGGGTCCGAACAGCAACACTTCACATATGACAGCAGGTACTGGGGATAGAGGATTGGCCACACATATAGTTTTTCTTTCACTGTCAATCCTTCATTCATAACAATAAATCATTCATCTTTCTTGTTTCAGACATGTGTGTAGTTGGATAGGGAAACATATACTTAAACGAATGGACAGATGGACAGAAAGATAAAGAGACAGGCAAACAGATAAGTAAAGGAACAGATTGGTGGTTGAAGATATAGACAGACATAGTTGTGAGTCCATTACAAGGCACTAGAGTATCAACAGCAGCATTTTTTTGGGCTGTTGAAGATTTTCTAGGCAAATTGAGGCTCAGTAGTTTGCCATTGCTTTCTGAACAGTCGCCTCTTGATACCATTGTCGAAACCAACATAAGGCAGCCTGCTGTTGAATTGTCCGCAGGTGAGATCCAACTTGGCACTTCGGCATCACAAAGTGCATTTGTAATACCTAAGCCACAGACATATAGACAAGCAGACACATAAACAGAAGAACAGATGGATGCAGATAAACAGTTAGAGAGGCATGTAAGTAGATGGAGAAAAAAATAGACTGTCAAACAGTTACACAGATAGGTAGAAAGACAGACAAACTAATAGACATAGGAAGAGAGAAAGACTTACAGACAAAAAAACACAGAATAATAGACAGCAATGTTTTTCTTATAGCTTTCCTCCCTCATTAACTTATAGTAAAGTAAAGTAAAGATCCCTTTTCACACCTTTTAGGCGCATCGGGCATATGGGAAGAGAACCCATATTTTTACAGACCAATCAGCACTAGGTGGATAATGTGGTCAGCATTACGCCGGCCGACTTTACTTCCCCAGGATATACATCCTGGTACCCATTTTAGACTGACTTTTAATATTGTAACTTGAACATTGTGGTATAATCTATGCACATTACTTTTGTCAGTATTTGTCAATATGTATATTATTTGTGTGGGTTTCCTCATGTTGATTTTCATTTGTGTTTTATTTCTGTTTTATCTTATGGTTTTTATTAACATTATTCAGCTTCTTTGCTTGTCCTACTGCTTATGCTGTAAAGTGTTGCAGACCGGAGTTATATGTAATCTCCTGTGCTCTGCTAGTTGCATCATCATCATGTAGCAGGTCCCTTGCAGAGCGTCGCTCTCATCATGGTCTGCCGGAAAGAAACTCAGCCTCTCGCCAGTTCTCCCGCCTCATGTACTTTCATACTCAGGGAGTCACTTATATCCTGCGCCCATCTTCGTGTCGGTCGGCCGCTGCCCCTCCTTTCTGGTACTATGCCTTCTGCTATAAATGTTTCCAATCCGTTGTGCGCTTGATCTGACCAAAATATTTCAGCTTCCTGTCAATTGCACAGCTAGTGTTAAAATGTCATATGCATTTCTGTAGTGTCTCATTTACTCCCTCCACCCATCTCTTTCTTGGTCTATTTCTTGACTTGTAGCCTGCTGTTCTCATGTAGTATGCTCTACCTCAGTGGTTCTCAACCTTCCTAATGCCCTGACCCCTAAATACAGCTCCTCATGTTGTGGTGATCCCCAACCATAAAATAATTTCACTGCTACTTCAAAACTTCAGTGAATGTGTTTTTTGATGGTCTTAGGCGACCCCTGTGAAAGGGTCATTTGACCCCCAAAGCGGTCACGACCTATAGGCTGAGAACCGCTGCTCTACCTGCAGGCTGATTTTGGTTTCATTCTGAGCACACGAACAAACCATTCAATTCTTTGATGTTCTATGAAATCTTGCACCGGTACTGTGAATTTAACTCTTTGAGTCCCAAAGAACGCATCATACGTTAGTAGATTCCTATCTAGAGGCCCAATGAATGCAAGATGTGCCAATTTTACATCTCTCTTGACTACTCCTTGGGCCTGTGATGCTAAACCCCCTGGGACTTTAAGAGTTAATAAAGATTAATGTAATAAAAAAGAGACCAGCACGAGAAAATCACACAATGTCTCACCTTGTGCAAGTTCTTGCTGGGAGAAAATGAAGCAGTACACAGGCACATGATCGCCCATGCTTGTCGAAGGACGTCCGTTTCTGGGTTCTCATTGGTCTGCCTCAACAGCTGAACCAGAATCTCATCCCGCAGCTCTATCCGGTCTATACCAGTCTTTACCAGCGTCTGTAAAATGTTAATGGCCGTATCATCTTTGACCTCGTCCCTGATATATCGGGTCATTTCCTGTCCAGAGGAAAAATAAACAAAACACAATCATGACTTCTGTCCACATTTCCAAATACAAATGACAGTACCTCATTTCCAAGTCACTTCCTTTCAGCTTCCTTGTCACTACAATTTCATCTCCTTGTCATCCCATTCTCAACTCATCCCCACTCTCTCATCTCTCGTCATCCCACTCTCACTACTTGTCATCTAACTTTAACCTATTGTCACCCAGTCTAACCTGTTGTCACCCACTCTAATCTATTATTACCCACTCTTTTTTTCACTCTAATCTCTTGACACCCTACTCTATTGTCTATCACCCAACTCTATCTCTTCTCAACATACTTTAATTTCTTGTCACCCCACTCTAAATCTCTTGTCACTCTACTCTTATCTCTTGTCACCGAACTCTCCTCCTCTTGTCGCCCGGCTCTAAATCTCTTGTCACTCTACTCTTATTACCGAACTCTCCTCCTCTTGTCGCCCCACTCTAAATCTCTTGTCACTCTACTCTTATCTCTTGTCACCAAACTCTCCTCCTCTTGTCGCCCCACTCTAAATCTCTTGTCACTCTACTCTTATCTCTTGTCACTAAACTCTCCTCCTCTTGTTGTCCCTCTTTAACCTAAAGTTACCCAACTCTAATCTCTTGTCACTTCACTTTAATCCCCATGTCACCAATTCTAATCTATTATTACCTCACTATAAAATCTACTGTCACTCACTCTAATCTATTTTTACCAAACTCTAATCACTTGTCAACCAACTCTAATCTCTTGTGACCCAAATATAATCTTTTGTCACTCAACTCTAATCTCCTCATCACCAACACTATAATTTCTTGTTATCTCACTCTCATCGCTTGTCACTCCCAACTCATCTACTTAAACCCTATTCTCAAATTTTTCTCCCACCACTTTCACCTCAACATCACCTCACCCCCATGGCATTCCAATAAATAAACAGAGGGGGAACCCTTGAGGCCGTCAAATATTATATATTAATTAAGTAACAGAAAATTTATTGATCAGCACTCATAAAAAGAAGCAGACAGATAGAAGAACACACTAGACAACATAAAAATGGAAAGCTATAGTTACCTTGCCGGGAATCAAACCTGCCACCTCCAGACGGCATGTGCCTAGGTGCCCATGTTCTTAGTGCGTTTGTTTCCTAGTGAGGTGCACACGCCATCTGGAGGTGACAGGTTCGATTCACAGCCATGGCATTCCAGCATCATGATCATGCCCCTTTTCCCACAACACCTGTGAAACAATAAGCAGACACAAACAAGAAACCCCGACACAGAAGTGGAAGGGATTCCCCCCCCCCCCCCCCCCCCGAAAGACTCACCCGGAAGAGCACACAAGCCTGATGGATGTTCTCTGTGTCATGTAGATGGATGTGGGAGGTGGGGATCAGCCCAGATTTACAGTACTTCAGCATCTCATCCTTGGTCAGGTACTCCTGGGGACATGAGATTAACGAAAGTACTGAAACTGTGGTTGGAACTTCTGAAGTTGTAAAGTAAAAAGAGAAGGACTCCTTTCTATGCTATTAGGCATATTGGGCATATAAGGCTAGACCTACATTTTATAGACCAGTCAGCACTTTGGTGGGTGATGTGGTCATAACCATGGTCATAACTATGCCGGCCACCTTTACTTCCCAGGATTTTTTACCAGGTACTCATTTTAGGCTAGGTCAGCCTGGTAGCCTGGACCAGACTGGTGAAATTCTGGCTTGATGGGGATTAGGACCCATAACCTGCAGTCCTGGGGCGAGCATCTAGCCACTACACCATGGCAGCTCCAAGATATAGGTTGACAGAGCAGTATTTTAACTGTTCTAGAGCACTATGTTTAAAAAACATAACTATCCTGGCAATAATAATAGAAGCTACACATCAGCATCAAGCTTGAAACAACAAGAAAATTAGTAGCATGAGTCCTAATCCACATCATCATCAACATTATCTCATCGTAGAGGTAGAGCCAGCAACAAATTTAGTATTAGCAGTAGTCCCCGTGCTGGGTTCGGGGATCCCATTGTGTGTATGTGCGTGTGTATTGCCACCTAAACAGGCAAGTTGTAAAAGTAGACTAATGAGGGGCATTTCTTTGAAGTCAGAGTGCATCTGCCTGAGAGGCCTGGAACCAACAGTCTGCATACATATAAGCCAGAGCTGTAAAATGGATGTGCACACAAAACTCACAGTTCTGGAACAAGACTAAATTCCATATGTGGATGAACAATCAAAACTTTCCAATGGAGTTTTCCCATGAAGAAATAGAAGGAAAAAAGAAGAAGTAAAAGTAGTAGCAAACGTAATAGCATTAGAAGTAATACTGGTGGTGGTGGTGGTAGTGGTGGTAGTAGTAGTGGTGGTGGTAGTAGTGGTGGTGGTAGTGGTGGTGGTAGTAGTGGTAGTGGTGGTGATAGTAGTGGTGGTGGTAGTAGTGGTGGTGGTAGTAGTGGTTGGTGGTGGTAGTGGTGGTGGTAGTAGTGGTGGTGGTGGTGGTAGTAGTGGTGGTGGTAGTAGTGGTGGTGGTAGTGGTGGTGGTGGTGGTAGTAGTAATGGTGGTGGTGGTAGTAGTGGTGGTGGTGGTAGTAGTGGTGGTGGTGGTAGTAGTGGTGGTGGCGGTAGTAGTGGTGGTTGTGGTGGTGGTAGTGGTGGTGGTGGTAGTAGTGGTGGTGGTAGTGGTGGTAGTGGTAATAGTGGTGGTGGTAGTGATGGTAGTGGTGGTAGTAGTGATGGTGGTAGTGGTGGTAGTGGTAATAGTGGTGGTGGTAGTGATGGTAGTGGTGGTAGTAGTGATGGTGGTGGTGGTAGTGGTGGTGGTAGTAGTAGTAGTAGTGGTAGTGGTGGTAGTAGTAGTGGTGGTGGTGGTAGTGGTGGTAGTGGTAGTAGTGGTGGTGGTAATAGCCATAGTAATAATATGAAGATGAAAGCAGATTGACAAAAGGAAGAGGAATGTGTGAAAAGGAATTATGAGGAGTTACAAAGGGGAGTGATTAAAAGATAAAACATGAGGATGGGGTCAAGAAGGAGTAACAGGGAGCTGAGTGTGAAGTTATAAGGAGAATCAAACTAAACCTACCAGAGTCAGACAGCCATCCCAACCCCTAAGCCACTCTGCCCCCCTCCCCCACACACACAATGTTTACCAACAGAAAGTTATAAAGGTTCCCTTTTACACCAGTGGTACCCTGAACAAACATATGATGCTGGACTCATACTTGTTACAGACCAATCAGCATTTGGTGAATGATATGGTGAGCATCCTGCTGACTGTCCTTACTGTCCAAAGACAGTGGTTGGTGTCTGAAGCAGTCGGGGCTGACAAAGAACAAGGCTAGGGCACTGCTGTGCCAGGGCACTGCTGTGCCAGGGCACGCAGGCATGTGAAAAAATTAGCGGTCTGTTTCACAATAATATCCCCACCGACCGCCCATATACACACTAGCTCACTTCTGATTGGTCAAACTTCAGTCACCCAACCTTCGCACCCTGCTAGGGGGGTGTTCAGCAATGCCGTTGAGATCACGTGTTGTATATTTAAACACACCAGCGCTTTTAACACTAGGAAAACATTTATCTAAATCTGGGTTTAACACACAACTCTCCCTAGAGAGTGCTGCAACCTATGTCACAGGCATTCTCTTTCTCGGAAGAAAACGTAAATGCAAGACAAGCCAGAAAGGAAACAACATAGCCATAACCCGAACCCCCCCCCTCCCCAACAGCAGACGAGTCTAAAAAAATTTATGAATGGAACATGACCTAGTTTGTTTTGGGAAATTATGGTGGAACTCAGCAAGTGAGCAAACAGACAGGCTTGCAGGTAAGGCCACTGTGACAGACTAGCCATAAACGTGGCTGATATTTTGCATGCTCTACCAGAAGTAAAAATTTTTTTGAAAACCAAGTGGTAACTGTGAATCTGAAACCATGACCAGACTGCAAGAATAACATACTTAAAGCAGGCAAAGCCAGACAACACCACGGTGCAGGCAGCCAAAGAGGTTTAAAGGTTTAAACGATGGATCTTTTCTCCAGGCCATGCCAGCATTGTAAGTAATGAACAGACAGACAGATTGGCTGGATCTGCACCACTGGGTGGTGAACTGATACACGAAAAGGCAGATGTGTTCAAGGCCCTTTGGGAACATGCAACAGAATCAGTAGAGAAAGAAGATTATTATGGCCTGGAGAGAATGAGGCACCTGGGTGTAACCAGAGGGTCTGGCCGGCTCACTAGAGTCAGAGAAAATTCAAAAATTATTAAGGCATACAGTTTGTAGTTTGGCTGCATAACAGAAGATAAGATAAGAGCTGGATGCCACACATGTGCTGCAATACAAGTGCAGAAACATTTCCAAGGCCTCCTGAAATTTTTCGGCTCGTCTATTAATTGTCAAGGATCTATCATCATCATGTGCCCTGCCAACTGGCGTAGGCGCTCATGTGTCTCCACAGATCACGATCCCTGGTTGACTGGAATAGCTTGACGATATCCCTTCATGCCATCATTTTAGCCAATCCAGCATCATCTTTTTTGGTCTGCCTCTACCCCCTTTTCTACTGATCTTTCCAGTTGTCCAGACGTTCTCCAATGTCTCTCTTCTCATTATGTGGCCCAAGAACGGTGTTTGTCTCTTTCTTATTGTTTTATATAGAGATCTACTTTTATTAGCCTCTTTCAAGCGATCACTGTTAGTTACTCTGACCGTCCAAAGTATTTGTAACATTCGTCTCAGAAAAACACATCTCTGTTGCTTCCAAATTCTTCTTAATTTGTTCAGTGACGAGATTCACTGCCATAAAGCAGAACAGGTTCTACGTAACATTTTAGCACCCTCTTTCTGACAAGGATTTATAGTCATATGTTAAAATGGCTCTATACAGCATGCAACATCTAGACAGTAATACTCACTGTAAAAGACCCCTGCTTGCTTCGTTTCTTCAAAGACTTCATGATAGTCCCACCTACTTCTCTCTCGTGATCGTTGAAGAACTTCTCTGCATATTCTAGGATATCATACAATGCATCAGGCTCTGGTAATCCTTCTGATAATTCCTTGGAAGGAGATGGTTCCGACTGTGGACTGACAATGTCTTTAGTCGGGAAAGACATAAGAGATGAAAGACGCTGTTTTGTTTTGGGGGATAGTTGACCGATTTCCCGGTCCTGCCATGGAAGACCTGGTTCTGGTGAAGCGCTGATTCTTAAAGCCATACTGGAACGTGGAGTGTTGGGCACTGATGGTGGGAATGGACGTGGAATTGGTGGAACTGCTGGTGGAGTTGGGGCTGGAGATTGGAATCCTCCGTTGACTAAAGAGTCATGGATTGTCTTGTGGACTTCTTTGAGCTCTGCGTATGGATTTTCAGTCTCAGATGGAGGTGGAGGTAGAGGATCACCGCTGGACAGGTAGGAAAAGTCAATCTGAGATGTGGTCAACAGTGGAGGTGGCGGAGGTAGTAGCTCTCCAGCAATGGCTGTTGATACTCGTGGAGGTGGAGGTGGTGCACTGGTTTTGTATCTATCAGGAGGTGGAGGGGTAAGGTACGGGGAAATAAAGGCTGTTGCTTGGCTCACCCCTGGAGGGGGAGAAAAAAGAGTTGTTGGGAGATCTTCCACTGAGGATTCAGATGGAGGTGGTGGAGGTGGTGGAGGCAGATCTTCAAGAATACCTGATTGTAAAGCAGGTGGTCCCACATTTGACGAATCTGATAAATGCGGTCTTGATTTGTGGGCGGACGATGAGCTTTCAAACTCCTCCAGAGACCTATCAACCTCTTTTAGAGCCAGTTCAATCTCCTCTTCATGGCTGGTCTTGAATTCCTAGGGGTACAGAAGGAAAAAATTTCTTGTACTCATTGACACAAGTAGTCTACAAAGCAACCTAACCAGGTACAAACAAACAAACAAACGAAGAACAAACTGTATTTTCAAAGGGTTAAGAGTAGGACCTAAAGTCTGGCTATCCTCCAAATAACGGACCCAAATTATCGAGGCTAAGAAAATAACCTAACAAGGCCTCAAGTCATATGTAAATTGTGGACCGATTTTCGGCGACTATGCTGCATACCGCGGAAAAGCTTCTGCCGAGTTAAAGTCACCGTCGAGAGTTTCTCCTTGCACCGCTACGCAACAGCAGTACCAGCAACAGTACTAGTAACAGTAGTAATAGCAACAGTGGCAACAGTAGCAGCAATAGGACTGGTAGTAGAAGTACTACAAGTAGTAGCAGTAGTGGCAGTGGTAGCAGCAGCAGAAGCCATAGTGGTAGTAGTGGTTGTGGTGGTGGCGGTAGTAGTAATGGTAATAGTAGCAGCAGAAACCATTGTAATAGTAGTAGAGGTGGTGGTGGTGGTGGTGGTGGTAGTAGTGGTTGTAGTAGTAGTCGCAGCTGAAACCCTAGTAGTAGTAGTAGTGGCAACAGTTGTAATACTCATGGTAAAACAACATCAGTATTAGAAGTAGTATAGCAGTAACAGCAGCAGCAGCAGTAATACAAGCAGCAGAAGTGGCAATGGTGACATTTTCAGTAGTAGTATGAGAGAATCTACATTCTTTGGTCATTTAAAAAAAAAGGAAAAAACTGGACAACATCAAGATTATGGAAAGTTGGAAGGAAAAAAGGCAAAGAAAGACCAAGAAAAGAGATGATGGTCAGTTTGACATCATGGCTTGGATTATCTGTCAGAAATGAGTGAAAGTATATGAGACAATGCCACACAGCATGAACCATAAGAAGTAGTAGAAGTAATAGTCAAAGTAGCAAAAGCTGTAGTAGTAGTAGTAGTAGTAGCAGTAGTAGTAGTAGTAGCAATGGTAGTAACAGCAGCTGTAGAATTAGTAGTGATTGTGACAGCAGCTGCAGTATTAGTAGTATTAGCAGAGGTTGTAGCAGCAGCTGTAGTATTAGTAGTATTAGCAGTGGTTGTAGCAGCAGCTGTAGTATTAGTAGTATTAGCAGTGGTTGTAGCAGCAGCAGCAGCAGTAGCTGCTGTAGTAGTAGCTGTAGTAGTAGTAGTAGCAGCAGCAGCAGCAGTAGTAGTAGTAGTAGTAGTAGTAGTAGTAGTAGTAGTAGTAGTAGTAGCAGCAGCAGTAGTAGTAGTAACATCAGCTGCAGTAGTAGTAGTAGTAGCAGTAGTAGTAGTAGCAGTAGTAGTAGTAGCAGTAGTAGTAGTAGTAGTAGTAGTAGTAGTAGTAGTAGTAGTAGTAGTAGTAGCAGCAGCAGCAGTAGTAGTAGTAGTAGTAGTAGTAGTAGTAGTAGTAGTAGTAGTAGTAGTAGTAGTAGTAGTAGTAGTAGTAGTAGTAGTAGCAGTAGTAGTAGTAGTAGTAGTAGCAGTAGTAGTAGTAGTAGTAGTAGTAGTAGCAGTAGTAGTAGTAGTAGTAGTAGTAGTAGCAGTAGTAGTAGTAGTAGTAGTAGTAGTAGTAGTAGTAGTAGTAGTAGTAGTAGTAGTAGTAGTAGTAGTAGTAGTAGTAGTAGTAGTAGTAGTAGTAGTAGTAGCAGCAGCAGCAGCAGCAGTAGTAGTAGTAGTAGTAGTAGTAGTAGTAGTAGTAGTAGTAGTAGCAGTAGTAGCAGTAGTAGTAGTAGTAGCAGTAGTAGTAGTAGTAGTAGTAGTAGTAGCAGCAGTAGTAGTAGTAGTAGTAGTAGTAGTAGTAGTAGTAGTAGTAGTAGTAGCAGCAGTAGTAGTAGTAGTAGTAGTAGTAGTAGTAGTAGTAGTAACAGCAGTAGTAGTAACAGCAGTAGCAGCAGTAATAATAGTAGTAGTTGAAGTAGTAGTAGTAGTAGTAGTAGTAGTAGTAGTAGTAGTAGTAGAAGCAGCAGTAGTAGTAGTAGTAGTAGTAGTAGTAGTAGTAGTAGTAGTAGTAGTAGTAGTAGTAGTAGTAGTAGTAGTAGTAGTAGAAGCAGCAGTAGTAGTAGTAGCAGTAGTAGTAGAAGTAGCAGCAGCAGCAGTAGTAGTAGTAGTAGTTGAAGTAATAACAATAACAGGATCCAGATGTCTTGAATCAGGCAAGCGACACCTCCCACAACTGGCCAATAGTCAGGTAGTATAGATTAATTAGCTTAGTCTGAGTTTGTTCAGTCCCCACACTGTTCTTTACGAAGCTTCCTCAAAGGACCCAGATCGATGTGCGCGGGGGATTTGGGGTCTAGCGTTTAACTAATCAGATCCCTTGGGGCAACATGTGACCTCGGATCACAGACTGGGACATCATCCAAACTACAGTCAGGGAGTGTCTTTAGGAGGGTTTGATGGTGTTGCTGGGTAGACTTTGAAACTGTTATGTCTGTCATTCTGTCCGTGTCTGTCATTCTCAGTGCTTGTACATACCTACATCTCATCTCTCTCTCTCTCTCCCTGTCTGTCTCTCTGTGTGTTAGTGTGTCCGTGTAAATTTTTTGTTCTTTTCTTTTCTTTCACCCAACCTCAGGGCCTCCGAGATTTCGTGCGGGAATTCCCGGGAAAACCCAACAGTATAGGGGTGTTATGGTGTGATGAAATGAACATCGACTAACACTAACCCCGCCCATAAATATCCTCAATTCCCACCCCCTGTGTTTGTTAAATACTTAGTTAGTTAGTTATTCCTCTTGTGCCAAAGATGGCGCATAGGGCAGAGGTCATAGCTTTCCACGTCTGTCGGTTCGTTGCCACTTGATGTAGGTCTTGAGTGCGACTGAGACCTATGGTTGAGCTCTCCCTTGTGATGGTTCTACGGAGAGTTTCTTTTGGTCTTCCCTGTTTTCTTTTACCCTCTGGTGACCATATGAAGGCTTGGTGGGGAAGTCTCTGTATGTCCATTCTGAGTACGTGACCGATGTTAAATACTGTGTAACTATTAATTGTTCTATGTTTCTGCGATCCGTAACCGTATACGTCATCGCCTTTAGCAACATGGGCGAACTATATGCCAATATGTCCACCTATTATTATTGTTATTATTTGCGCTGGAATACGCAATGATCAGAGAGATCCAGGGGTGTAGATGCCCGATCTCCCGCGCAGTGGAGCAAATCAGCATGAACCATAAGAAGTAGTAGAAGTAATAGTCAAAGTAGCAAAAGCTGTAGTAGTAATAGTAGTAGTAGTACCAGTAGTAGTAGCAGCAATGGTAGTAGAAGCAGCTGTAGAATTATTAGTGAATTAGTAATGTGCAGTGGAGTACATCAGCCGTTCTCCCCTGACAGCTTGGTCTAGCCCGAGTACTTGTACCTACAGGGCGAAAAGGCACACTTAGGTCCTAGCCCGAGTACTTGTACCTACAGGGTGAAAGGGCACACTTAGGTCCTAGCCCGAGTACTTGTACCTACAGGGTGAAAGGGCACACTTAGGTCCTAGCCCGAGTACTTGTACCTACAGGGTAAAAGGGCACACTTAGGTCCTAAGTTCCTTGATCTAGCAAATCCTTCTACAGTCAAGACTGTTGTGCATGACCAAAGAAGCACAAACCACAACGCATCTAGAGGAGACAACCTGGATAAAAATCTCTAAGCTTACGGTGGATCTACGTGACCATTTGCTGAATGACTATGGGATATACATTCGCAAACGCGGAACGTCTGGTTAGCGGGTGGAGCGGCGTCAGGTGTATGGACTACATTAGGACATCCCCTGCCTCTTCAAGAGCAGGCAGCCAATACCAGGATGACCGTTTACTTCCTGCACTGAAAGAATATTTTCTATAGATGTTGTACTTAATAATAAAAAGAATCATTGGTGTTTTATTTATTTCTTACCCCCAGAAGAAGTCACATGACAATCCAACATTTTAGAGGGTGGTAAGACTTTGTTTCCCAGCTTTCTGATGCTATTAACGACCCCAAAACCCCTAAAACTGGCTCTAACCCAACCCACCTATGTCTTACGAGAGTGCAACCTAGGTCCCACGACTGAATGCAGCCTAGGTCCCAGGACTGCATGCAGCCTATATACCACCCTCTGAAATATTAGACTGTTTCCCCTGTTTGGGGTACGATAATAAAAAAGCAACAAATCATCACCGGAGCTATGCGTGCGTGCTCTGTGCTAGATGCCATCTTCGGGTGGCAAGGGAGAGAGTGGGAAGAGGAGAAGACGAGGAAATGGAGAGAGAAGGTATAGAAATAGAAGTTTCAGGCAAAAAACTGAGTCCCTGGTATTAAAGCACATTACAGTGGGTTACTGGAATTGTCGTAGTACCAAACAGAGAGTAAGTAAGTTTTACCCCACCAGGAAATCACACAGAGCGATAAACAACCGGCGATACAAAGTGCCACCATTCGGATTACGATCCCCTCGGAGAGGTCCGGGAAACCCCGTTGACCCATTAGGTTGTTATTTAAGGGCGTCTGGCAACAGCCAGTTTAAGGCTTCAAAATAACGACAAATTGCATCTCACATGCGGACGACGAATAAACTGCAAATTATGTCGTATGAAAATGAGCAAAGCAGAGAGATTCTGTACTGGGGAGGCTGACTTATGACTTTCATGACATTAAGCCTGACGAATTAAACACAGATATATATGAGTGTCCTGGATACATTTGTATCCTCTAATAAACCAACCCTCCTGTTGTGGAGAGGGAAATTTAACGACCATGGCCTTGTGTCTTGATACCACTGTCGAAACCAACGCAAGGAAAATCGAACCTGGGTGAAGTATGTAATTCTTGACCTGGGCCAGTGGAATGGATAGTACAAAATGGGGTGAAGGTTTCAAAGTATACAACTGGCGGTTTCAAAGTATACAAACAGATAATGGGGGCACAATCTGGAATGTAGTGATCTGAACGGCACAGCCGGAAAACGAACTCATAACGTTCACAGCGCGAAGCAAACGCCCTGACC